ATGGTATCCATACATAATTATTAGAAGTGATTAACATGTAACTTCTCCCTATGGTATCCATACATAATTATTAGAAGTGATTAACATGTAACTTCTCCCTATGGTATCCATACATAATTATTAGAAGTGATTAACATGTAACTTCTCCCTATGGTATCCATACATAATTATTAGAAGTGATTAACATGTAACTTCTCCCTATGGTATCCATACATAATTATTAGAAGTGATTAACATGTAACTTCTCCCAATGGTATCCATACATAATTATTTGAAGTGATTAACATGTAACTTCTCCCTATGGTATTCATACATAATTATTAGAAGTGATTAACATGTAACTTCTCCCTATGGTATTCATACATAATTATTAGAAGTGATTAACATGTAACTTCTCCCTATGGTATCCATACATAATTATTAGAAGTGATTAACATGTAACTTCTCTCTATGGTATCCATACATAATTATTAGAAGTGATTAACATGTAACTTCTCTCTATGGTATCCACACATAATTATTAGAAGTGATTAACATGTAACTTCTCCCTATGGTATCCACACATAATTATTAGAAGTGATTAACATGTAACTTCTCTCTATGGTATCCATACATAATTATTAGAAGTGATTAACATGTAACTTCTCTCTATGGTATCCATACATAATTATTAGAAGTGATTAACATGTAACTTCTCTCTATGGTATCCATACATAATTATTAGAAGTGATTAACATGTAACTTCTCCCAATGGTATCCATACATAATTATTTGAAGTGATTAACATGTAACTTCTCCCTATGGTATTCATACATAATTATTAGAAGTGATTAACATGTAACTTCTCCCTATGGTATCCATACATAATTATTAGAAGTGATTAACATGTAACTTCTCCCTATGGTATTCATACATAATTATTAGAAGTGATTAACATGTAACTTCTCCCTATGGTATTCATACATAATTATTAGAAGTGATTAACATGTAACTTCTCCCTATGGTATCCATACATAATTATTAGAAGTGATTAACATGTAACTTCTCCCTATGGTATTCATACATAATTATTAGAAGTGATTAACATGTAACTTCTCCCTATGGTATCCATACATAATTATTAGAAGTGATTAACATGTAACTTCTCCCTATGGTATTCATACATAATTATTAGAAGTGATTAACATGTAACTTCTCCCTATGGTATTCATACATAATTATTAGAAGTGATTAACATGTAACTTCTCCCTATGGTATCCATACATAATTATTAGAAGTGATTAACATGTAACTTCTCCCTATGGTATTCATACATAATTATTAGAAGTGATTAACATGTAACTTCTCCCTATGGTATCCATACATAATTATTAGAAGTGATTAACATGTAACTTCTCCCTATGGTATCCATACATAATTATTAGAAGTGATTAACATGTAACTTCTCCCTATGGTATTCATACATAATTCTGCAAACAGGTAATAAGAATACTCAGACTTATCAGTTACAGTTGTTTTCTTGATCTAACACCAAATCCTTGTAACTACAACTGTTATTTAAAAGGGAATGTGTAGCAGCAAGAGGGAAGAATTAACAATCACATCTTAGGAGTTAAAGGGTAAACTGCTATGTACATATATTGGAGGGATTTGACCTTTTCAGCAAACAACACTTTCACCTTTACCAGTAACCCTTTATTCATAATTCTCCTTACTGTCTGCCATATAGTTCCTCTGAAGTTAGTTTGGGGAATTTGGTAATGGATCAAGTAATAATCCCTAATTAAGATTTTTTTTTCCATCATGTGTCTGCTTGATATTGTATTAATATTGTAAGAAGAAATTCTGTCTTGGTCACTCATGGGAGTTTAAGGGTTAACCCCCTGTTACAATCCAGTATCCCAAGTTATCTTGTGTTTTACTTTGATGATCTCAGAGTTAGTCTTCACTTTATATTGAAAAAATTTAATACATACAAGGATAAGTAACCCTTTTTTGAAGTGTTTTTTACCCAGTAAATCATTTTTTTTCTTTTTTCAGACTGGCATTATCATTGTTGACAACTGTAAACTTGCAGTGGCAGTGAATTTTAGGACCAATGCAGCCTTCTTCCCATGTGCCACAGCACAGCAACTTCAAATTAAAGATGAATTGGAAAATTACAGGTACATTTTTATGTGAATGCACACCATCAGAGAGGCAGAGTGGCTGAGTGCTTAGGGTGCTGGCCAGGTGCTTAGGGTGCTGGCTAGGTGCTTGAGTGCCAGCCAGGTGCTTAGGGCACTTGCCAAGTGCTAAGGGGACTGGCCAAGTGCTTAGGGCGCTGGACCTGTAATCTGGTGGTCCAAGGTTGTAGTTCTCCACTCAGCTCCTTACTGGATTTGTTTTCAGTTACCCTGAGTTCCACTCACTGGCTTTGCTCTGTTTGGCTGCCTTTTACTAGTTGGGGTTCTTAAAAACTGTGTTGATGTTTATTTACTATGTTTACTTCCAATTTGTGTGTACATATATTGGAGGGATTTAAGTGTTTTTACCCTTTGACCCTTTCACCTTTACCTTTAACCCTTTAACTCCCAAGATCTCATTAACAATTCTCCTTACTGTCTGCCATATAGTACTTCTGAAGTTAGTTTGGGGAATTTGGTAATGGATCAAGTAATAATCCCTAATTAAAATTTTTCCTATTCTCATCACTTGTCTGCTTGATATTATATTGATATTGTAAGGAGAAATTCTGTCTTGGTCAATCATGGGAGTTAAAGGGTTAATCCCCTGTTAAAATCCAGTATTCCAGAGTTAGTCCTCACTTTATATTGAAAAAATTTAGTACATACAAGGGTTAGTGACCCTTTTTTGAAATTATTTTTACCCAGTAATTTTTTTTCTTGTTTAGACTGACATTATCATTGTTGACAACTGTAAGCTTGCAGTGGCAGTGAATTTTGGGACCAAAGTAGCCTCCTTCCCATTTGCTGCAGCACAGGAGCTTCAAATTAAAGATGAATCAGAAAATTACAGGTACATTTTTAAGTAAATGCACACCATCAAGAAAGATCCAAGGAGTAGGCAGAGTGGCTGAGTGCTTAGGGCACTGGACTTGTATTTAGGTTGTAGTTCTCCACTCTGCTACTCACTGGATTTGTTTTCAGTTGCACTGAGTTCCACTTGTTGGCTTTGCTCTGTTTAAAGCCAATTTGGCTGCCTTTACTAGTTTGGGTTCTTAAAAACTGTGTTGATGTTTATTTACTGTTTATATCCGATTTTGTTTAAATTAATTATTTCTAAAATTTGTAAGCAAATTGAGAATAGAGAAATATATCATATGAACTGTTAATAGTGTTGTTGTTATTATTATTATTATTATTACTAATCGTTATTATTATTATTACTAATCGTTATTATGGTTATTATTAATTGTTATTATTATCATTATCATCAGAGGTTTAGGTATTTATAAGCGGGTCAATATATGCAATAATTTGAGTATAGTGGGTGACCTTTATTGTAAGATGTTTTTGACATGTTCTAGACCTCAAGCAGTGATTTTTTTTGTCAGATTACTTATGTCAAACTGCTGTTGGAGCTCTCGTTTTTGAGAGTCAAAGGGTCAACTGTAATCTTGAGAGCTAGAACTTCCTGATCAGTGCGCTTTGATCACAAGTGTACACTTTTTGCACTACTTGTCCTATACATAATTCTAGATATCTACTTACTTTTTAAAGTCTCAAAATCATGTATGGAATGTTTTTGTGTTGGGAATAAAAAGCGAACTGCAAATAGTAACACTGCGATCCTTTTTTTTTTCTTTAGCTCCTTGGATTTGACAGGCCCTCTTCTTCTCGATGGGCTCGTGCAGCTACCAGTTATATTCCCAGTCCTCTACAAACATTTTACTGGCTGCATCAGAAATGTTTACATCGATCACAAGTTCTTGGACCTCAGTCAGCCATTGTACAACAACGGAACCAGTGCTAAATGTAAAGCAATGGGCAACACGTGCGCATATAAACCTTGCGAGCGAGGCACGTGTTTCAACATACTTGGTTCTCGCCGGTGTGACTGTCCCACTGGGTTTGATGGAAGTCGCTGTGAAACAATTATTGAATTTTTTTCTACGGATATGTAAGTGAACTTTCCTCTCGCATTTACTTTAGTTTGAAGCGTCCGGAAAAGTACGGAATCTTTTGGAATCTTTTCAAATGCTTGGTATCTAATATGCAGACAACAGTTCATGAGTTGTGCATGATAAAAGACACCTTATGAGCATTTAAATGTATGCGGTTCCTTGTTATGAGAAACATATCGTCGAGTTTGTCTGGTTTAGTGAATCTTCAATTAATAAATGCACGTACTTAATCACCGGTATTTTCGCCTTGAATTATCGATCCATACCAGATTTTGACCCGACAGTTCTGAGAAAAGAGCGAAAAATCAGTTTTTTCTGTACATATGACGAAGATCTGCCGGTTTCAAAAACCCTGTGAACAATCCTCAGAGTTGAAAGATTCCCTTCCTTAACGTTAAGGGCCGAGTTCCTCAAATACTGTCTTCTGTTGTGTCAGCAATTTCTGTTTCTTAACCCTTTCACTGTCAAGATATCATTGTTAATTCTCCTTACTGTCTGTCATACAATTCTTACAATATTAGTTCAGAGAATTTAGTATTGGATCAGCTAATTATTCCCAAATTGATGTTTTTCTTTATTCTCATCACTTATCTGGTTGATGTTGTATTAATATTGTAAGGAGAAATACTGTCTTGGTTACTCATGGGAATTCAAGGGTTATATTGGAGAGAAATTATCCAGGCCTCCAGTTAGCGTTGATTTTCTGGGAGTCACGTTACCCTAAAATACCCCAACTAAGGAGAACGTCAATTTCTTATCACGAGTTTTTATATGGAAACCATTCATATAAACTTCCTTTTTCAACAGGTGTGAAATACACTGAGAGATTCTCAGGACAGAGTTTTAAGAGGGTGCTGGCCAACTCAAAGGTCAATCTTCCGTGGAGTGTTTCAATGAGATTCCGCACAGCCAAGCCTTCAGGAACTCTGATTGAAACCTCTTTTTCGTCATCATCTTCGGTGTTGGAGGTAAGTTATGTAAATCAAGGTACATGTCATGGTATAAAAGTCATTGAATGTTCTTATACTTACGTGAACTTCGTTGGTATTTCAGTTGGTTGATGGTTAACCGTAATACAACTACAGAGGGCTGTTGGTTCCCAATTGCCTCACATAGTGGTGAATGATACCCAGTGGCATCACATTGAGATCCTCTGGACAGATTCTTCCCTTAAAATAACAATGGACTACATCTACAAAGTTTCTGCAGATGCATACAGGGGAAAAGACCTTGGAGTTGTCTGACAGTTTTTCATGGGAGCGAGGAAGAATTCTACCAAGTCTGCAGTGTACGGTGGATTTAGAGGCTGTATACAAGGTATGCTTTTCTAACAAATTCTTCTAGTTAAACTGTTAGGTTTATGTTTCTGTAGCCTGCTCCAGGTAATAGATTAGCAGCAATGCACTGATTGATTTTCCGAAGCTTGAAGGAAAAAATGGTTGTTAATGAGTATAGGTAATAACATGATTTCGAGTGCAATTTGGTGTTTATACGCTCGAGTGAATTTTTTAGTACCACAAAATTGCACGAGCTGTGGGGCGAGGGAAGTTTGTAGTCTTTGAAAAATTTATAATTGCTTATTGCACCAAATTGCAAGATAAATCATGTTATTAATTGTTAATAATTTACATGAAAAAACATCACAGAAAGGCAAGGCAGACTAAACGTTAGGTTTGGAGCGATAGTGTGAGTGCGTATGTGCGTGCGCACGTGCGTGCGCACGTGCGTGTACGTGTACGAGCAGGTACGTACAAGCGTGTGCGTGCATGTGTGTTCGTGCGTGCTTATTTATGTAGTAAGGGTTGGAACTGTGCTATTGGAGTGAGTATGGTAATAGTGGATGTATGAATATTAGGCCATTTCCGACTTCTTAAAGGCTTCCTTTTTTCGTGAAAATAGTTTCGTTTGCAAAATAATTTATTTTCCTATGAGAAGTATCGTATCTGGGATCGTTTTAAAACAGAGGCTGTGGGCCTCTCGGAAATGGTCCAACTCGGTTACCCGTTTATACGAGGAGACACTAACCTCTCTCTTTCCATATCCATAGGGGTTTTTGTCGGGAGTACCTTAATCAACATGAACTCTGGAGTCAATCACAGAACAGCATCTGATTGTGAAGAGAAAATGGGAAGCCACTGCTCATCGAACCCTTGTCCAGACTAAAGCACGTGCTAAGAGGAATTCGACTCCTACAAATGCATATGTCCCGTAGGTTACGTTGGTAAACACTGCGTGCGCGTATATTCTCTTAAGCCGTGCCGACATGGCAAATGTGAAAGTTCAAACCATGGAAAGGGATTCCGATGTGGTTGTCCTCAACAGTACACTGGTAAGTGGAATTTTTTCAATTTTTATCTTATTTTTTTTCAATTAAAGTTATTACCTATTGGGCACATTTCTAAATAAAATAAATAAGTAAATAAATAGAGAATAATACATGGGCGCGCGTAGATATGGAATTTCCCTTCGAGTGTTTAACTCGATAGCTCACGTGTGAGATGTTGAGTTGAATACGAGCGAACTTGTACTGGTGATTGGGTCGAACTCCCACAGGTGAATAGGCGCGAACTTGCAGTGGGGCGAATTCACCAGTTACCGATATGCAATCTCTCAATGTTGAACTTAAGATCCACTTAAATATAAAGTTTGAATGTTTTGTATAATTTCTTAGGGGAATTTTGTGAAGTTCGCATTGAGATACCTTGTCGAGATAAGTACTTTGGTGCTTCAAGTATAGGCGTCTGTGGTCCGTGTAAATGTGAAGTGGGGATGAATCTGAGTCCAGTTTGTAACAGGTCTACAGGAGAGTGCTACTGTAATGTAAGTACCACATGGAAGAAGCTTATCAGATGAACTTTACTAAAACCGTGGAAAGTTACGAGAGTCTAAACCAGGGAAAAAATCAGAGCAGTTTCTGTTTTTCTTTAAGAAGTCGGGAGAACGAGGGAAAAATCAGTGGGGGAAAAAGCGATAATGCAGAAAACAAATGAACAAATGAAGAAAAGACTCCTTAATCTACCATTATGGACTTAGGCAGGAAAGGAGAATTGTTTGCAGTCTGGGGGGACATAAAGTTTTTTGTGTGTGTGCTTTTACATTTCGTCGAAAAGAACAGGTTTTTATACAGATTTGTTTGCGATTTGCATCATTCTTTATTTGATTGGTATGGGAAACAGTGCTGAAAAGTACATTGTAGTGGGCGATGTGTCTGAAAGAAAGCCACTGAATGGCTCCCATGTGGTCTTGCAATTTTCGTCGCCTGTAAACCGCGGCTACTGTTTTAGAATTCAGTTCTGATGCTGTGTCCTCCATTCACTTGTTATGCCATTGGAAATCTGTGCTTTTTTTTAAGTATTTTTCTCATTTTGTTTTTGTCCAGGCAAAGCGCTATCGAAATATTGTAAGCTACACATTTTCGGGGTGCCCCTGTGTTTAGTGATGGCTGTCTTAGATGTGACTGTGAAGAGATTGGTAGGACTGCTGATCAGTGTGCTACAGAGAATGGCCAGTGCCCTTGTCTTAGAGGCCGAAGGGGAGGGAAGAATGTGGTCGGAAGGCGTTGTAATCAGTGCGAAGACAAACAGGGTCAGATTGTGAGCGGTAGAGGCTGTGTGGGTGAGTGAGATTTAACTTAAATTGAACGCGTTGCAAACGCAGTGAAAATGCGTATTTAATTCGTGTGAAATGGGTTTACTTATACGTGTAAGGCGTCAACAGTGCGGATGAAACACGCCTCCACCCGTTCAAAACGCGTCTTTATTGCAAGCGAAATGCGTTTGCATGGGTTTAAAACAGGCGCTTTGACAAACATTAACTATGTTGCTGAGAGACAGTCTTTTTCAGTTTGGTCAGATCGAGAAGAATCCCGATTTTTCTAATTTCCTGAGGAATAGGAAATTGGTTGAATTATTGGAAGGTCAGATATCTGGTAACATTTCTTTCATAAAAAAGGATAGTCAATTTTGATTCATCTCTTTGAGAGTTTCCAGAAACAGTTTGCTCGAGAAATCGTGAGTCTTCTGTTCACATAATTAACAAGGAATTCTAAAGTGTAAAATTTATTGTTATTTTTATTATAATTATTATCATCGTTATAGTTATTATTAATATTATCATTATTATTATCATAATTATATTATTTAACCACATGAAAAGAAGATATCTCGAACAACCTTCGTCATGTTACCTCTATTTATTTATATATATATATATATATATATATATATTTATTTATTTATTTATTTAAGTATTATTTGTTATCTAAAAACGGGAAATGAAGAACTCTGGAATTAAGTCCTATTTTATTTGTTTGTATCCAATAGTTATTGCCTCATCATGTCCAAGAGCATTTGCTGAGGAGATATGTTGGAAGAAAGAAATGTCCTTCTATTTCTTTATGGGGTGGGGTAAGTGTGCGAATGTTGTCCAACAGGGAGTGTATGTATCAACCCTTTGAAGTAATGAACAATTAAACTCTCCCTCCAATATCCATACATTATCCAGCAAACAGGTGGTGAGAATACCCAAATTATCAGGTAGAAGTTGTTATGAATGACTGGTACAAGAAACCTATCAAAGTTACTATTTTATAATATTCACTCGCCGTCATCTATTGGAAGATAATTTTGCGCAATTAATGCTTTCAAATAATACTAATAACAAACTATTTGAGGCATAAAACACGGATTTCTGTGCAACGCGTGTGAAGGTTTTAACTCGGTTTTTTTTTTTGTCTCAGGATGTCCCGCTGCTGTGGTCGGAGTTTCCGCTGGCTAAGCGAACGAGGGCTACGGAAACCAGAGATTGTAAGTCAACTTTAGATGGTCTCTGTAGAACTTTTTACCAGCCCGTGTAAATAGTTTGTTTTTACTTTTAACATTCCTAAACCAAGCAATAGATAGTGACAGTTCCCACTAAATCTCGTGACATTTGACCTTTTTTTTCATTACTTTTCAGCTGCTGGATGTCAACAGATGGAACACTTATCTGGACGTTTACGATTCCGATCATCATTATTGTCGCGGTAAGTAGCTTCACGAATGATCCCACTCCTGACAACACATGTCAATGTTAACGGCAAACAAAGAGGTAAATCTCTTGTGGTAAACGAATTATCAATTGAATTAAAAATCTCTCTAAAAACATCCAGTGACATCTCTAGGAAGCTGGTCTCATTCCCGTTCTCCTTACAACATCATCACGATATGAAGCAGGGCGGTGATGAGAAAAAAAGAAATATATCAACTAGGGGATTATTACTCGATCCAATACCAAATTCTCCGAACTAACATCATTAGAATTGTCTTACAAATGAGAAGGGTTAATGTCAACCGTCCACTTTTCACTCGTTCTTCCTCATCTAGTTTTCCCATCCTCCTCTCCACTTATAATTTCGTTGCAGATACTATGTTGATGAACGGTGAGCCCGTTTTATTTATATTTCGTTTTGTGACTTGGTGTTTGCCTCAGTGGCATTCTTTTGCGCAGTTGACATGCATGTTGCTGTGGCAAACAAAACAAACAACTACATAGAGATGACGGTCTGAAATTGTTCATATTTATACACAAATTTTGTATTTGTGGAATGGTGCAGTATAAGTATACAGTTACACTGATTGATTTAGTATGTCGTGTTGTTCATTGGTTTTCTTTTTATCATCTTAGCTCAACACACTCGTCTTTATCATGGCGCTGTTCACTTCACTTAAAAAACAATCAAGGAAGAGACGTCGCCGGCAGCACCACCATCACCACGACGACGAATAATCTAACTTGACGTAAGATAGCACTTTTGACTGATACATGAGCGTGTCAATCGTCTCTTGCTAAAACTTGGTTTTCACGAGTGACGCAAGCATAAACACAAGCTTAACAGCTCAGAGAAGCAAGCAAGAATATAGCGCAAGGATCAAAATTTGTCCTTTTTCTTGCGCTACTCTTTGTGCTCGTCGACGTTCGTTTTCAATTGGCATACTTACCTGATGCTCGCGTTTGTGCTTGCGCTTGTGTTTGCGTCGCTGGGGAAAACCAGGCTTAAGCATAAAAGACTATTTAACAACTTTTCACCGAAGTAGAGGTTGCTCGTGGTGGATATTTACCGAACCGTGAAGCGGCGAGATTAAATATCAACTGCTAGTTTCCTCCACTGAGGTGAATAGTTAACTACCATGCCATAGATAACGGAAGATATTAGATTTATGCAGACCATGTATTCAAAACCGCTTCCCTCGACTGACCAATCTCCAACTGCTCAGTAACTGAGAAATGTTATAATACCTAAAAATGATAAAATGATAAAGTGAAATTTACCGAATCCCTCCCATAAGGTTCTGGAGTATTCCAATAATCCATTCCCCCCAACTCCATTGGAAGTCAATTTTCCACAGTCCACCATTAAACTCTGTTCGAGACGATTGATTCCCCCTCTGTTTCCCTTTAATACCACGTGATCCACCTCCCCTCTCCCCCTCTCCCCCTCTCCCTTCCCCCCTCCCCCCGCCGATAAATAGAGACTGGTTCGTTATGATTTAAACTAGATAATTCTTTATTCATTTGTCATATGTCTCAAATCTTTCCTTTTTTTTCACGATTTCAATTTGATTTCATCGACGCGGAATATTTGATTCACTTTCCCACTCTTGCTTTGTTTTAACTCTTTAACTTCCAGACTTAATCAACATGTAACTTCTCCCTGAGGTTCCAGTTTATTATCTTGTAAATACGTTTTGAGAACAGACAGTCTTATCAGCCGGAGAGTATCATTCTGCAGTAACACAAAACTCTCCCCTCTAATTTTCAAGGAAATGTATCGTGGTAAGAGGGGAGAATTTCCAATTAGATCTTGAGGTTGAAAGGGTGAACTAACCTTTTTCTTTTCCCCTTCTTCCTTCCCACTTTTCAATTCATGCACTCTCTCTCCCCTCCCTGTTCGTATTCGCAAGACTATTCCATTTCTCTGTATTGATTTCTTGTTTCTTTCTTCACCTGTTTAACGAAAAGTTCTGTTTCGGTTTTTTTTTCCTTAGAAACGCTCCTATCACTCAGGGGAGACGGCACCTCTCCGATCCCCGTATGATTTTGACGACGATGGAAACGCCAATAGCATATCTACCACGGAGCCATCCAGAAGCGGTTTCCGTAACAGTGTAACGAGTCGGTTCACCACAGACAACAGTATCACAGATTCTATAGGAGATAAAGATACCAGTGCACCAGGTGTGTGTTTGAAATATAATTTCTCTCAAATGCGTTTATAAATTCTGCTCAGTCCAAGTAATAAGAACGTGGTTTTAAATAAATTACAGTGATTTCTAGTCAGCTTCAATACCCTAGAGACCGAAGAAAAGTGCCCCCACCAAATCCTCATTTTCTTTTCTTCAATGAAGACTAGATTCGTGCCCTACGAAGCCAAGTTTTCCTTAATTACAGTCGTCCTACAAGAAATGTTCCTTTGCAATTCAATTCGGTGGGGAGAAAAGAAGAATCACCTAGAAAGTAAATACAAGACTTAAAACACAAAAGCAATCAGAAGCAATCTCAAGCCACGATCATACATGGAACCAGGCTAACTGGTTTAGTGCGGAAGGGGCTGGGCATTGATTGCTGTATAGTGGAATTTATAATTGCTTTCTTTCAAGGAACCAATTCCTCTGAACCATTTTAGGAATGACTTATGGCTTGCAGAAACTGCACGTTCTGTTTGTTTGTTTGGTTGTTTGTTTGGTTGTGTCGTCCAAGTCTTTCATTTCGCTTAGCGAAAGAATACGTTGTAATGGAGTTATTCCTCATTTCTGGGAACTAATTTTTGTTTGGTTGTTCAAATTTTAGATGGAAAATCGCGAAAGGCCAAGTACCCTGATAATCCTGAACTTGGTAAGTCGTTTACAATGCGTAAACTCAAACATTTCTATGTTTTAACTCCTTTGTAGTCAATATTTTGATGGTCACGAAACGAAGAGGAAAATAAGGGGTGATATTACTTCGTTACGCAATATTATTGTGCAGCGAAACATCTGTAACACATCTTTGGTACAGTCAGTTAAAGGCTAACAATCTTGTGAGTATATATAGAGTGGGTAGCATTATAGGCGCACTCTGATTGGCTACTCAAACTCCAAATATCCCTTGCTAATCACCTCCGAGCAACGCGCGCGCGATTTGCGCCCGGAAAGATGGTAATCGTTGCAGGAAGAAATGCGTTCGGGTTTTTACCTAATTAATTAAGCAAAAAATACAGTAAAATTGACCAACTTTAATGTGCTAGTGCTGAAGGAAGATTTTTCGTAAGGAATCGGTGGTGTTTTTACTTCAAAATATAATTCATTTGATTTTTATTTGTGGCACTTTTAGGAGCTTTGGTGTAATTTTAAAATTTACATGATTTTTTAACAAAGTACTCTCAAATGCTTGTTGCAAAAAGCGAAAAATAAAGCAACTTCAAGCCTTCAAAACGCGTCTTGGTATATAAGAAATCATGTCAAATTACATGCGGGCACAAAGTTTGGTCCTTATACGAAAATAATATGAAATAAAAAATTTGGATGATTCAGATAAGTGCCGGCAAAATAAAAGAGTTTGCGACGCACTGTGGCCAAGATCAGGACGCAAACAACACTTTCACCTTTACCGGTAACCTTTTAACTCCCAAGATCTCATTTATAATTCTTCTTACTGTCTGCCATATTGTTTTTTAGAAGTTAGTTTGTGGAATTTGGTAATGGATCAAGTAATAATACCTAAATAAGATTTTTCTTATTCTCATCACTTGTCTGCTTGATATTGTATTGATATTATATTGACATTGTAAGGAGAAATTCTGTCTTGGTCACTCATGGGAGTTAAAGGGTTAACCCCCTGTTACTATCCAGTATCTCAAGTGATCTTGTGTTGTACTTTCATGATCTCAGAGTTAGTCTTCATTTTATATTGAAAAAGTTTAATACATACAAGGATAAGTAACCCTTTTTCGAAATGTTTTTTACCCAGTAAATCATTTTTTTCTTTGTTTAGACTGGCATTATCATTGTTGACGAATGTAAACTAGCCGTGGCAGTGAATTTTGGGACCAAAGCAGCCTCCTTCTCATGTGCCGCAGCACGGCAGCTTCAAATTAAAGATGAATCTAAAAATTAAAGGTATATTTTTATATAAATGCACACCATCAAGAAAGACCCTTGGAGTAGGCAGAGTGGCTGAGTACTTAGGGCACTGGCCACCTGCTTAGGGACTTGCCAAGTGCTTAGGGACTTGTCATCCGGTGGTCCCAGGTTGTAGTTCTCCACTTTGCTACTCACTGGATTTGTTTTCAGTTGCACTGAGTTCCACTCGTTGGCTTTGCTCTGTTTAAAGCCAATTTGTCTGCTTTTTACTAGTTGAGGTTCTTAAAAACTGTGTTGATGTTTATTTACTATGTTTATTTCCGATTTGTTTGAATTAATTATTTCTAAAATTTGTAAGCAAATTGAGAATAGAGAAATATATCATACGAACTGTTAATAGTGTTATTATCGTTATAATTAATTGTTATTATTACTGTTATTATTAATTATCATCATCATCATCAGAGCTTTAGGTATTTATTAGCGGGTCAATATATGCAACAATTTTAGTATAGTGGGTGACCTTTATTGTAAGATGTTTTGGACGACTTCTTGACCCCAAGCAGTGATTTTTTTGTCAGATTACTTATGTCAAACTGCTGTTGGAGCTCTCATTTCTGGGAGTCAAAGGGCTAACTGTAATCTTAAGGGCTATAACTTCCTGATCAGTGCTCTTTGATCACAAGTGTACACTTTTTGCAGTACTTGACCTATACATAATTCTAGATATCTACTTACTTTTTAAATTCACAAAATCGTGTATGGAATGTTTTCGTGTTTGTAATTAAAAGCGAACTGTAAATAGTAACACTGTGATCCTTTTTTTTTTTTTTTTTTTTAGCCCCTTGCATTTGACAGGCCCTCTTCTTCTCGGTATGCTCGTGCAGCTACCAATTAAATTCCCAGTGCCCTACAAACATTTTACTGGCTGCATCAGAAATGTTTACATCGATCACAAGTTCTTGGACCTCAGTCAGCCATTGTACAACAACGGAACCAGTGCTAAATGTAAAGCAATGGGCAACACCTGCGCATATAAACAACCTTGCGGGCGAGGCACGTGTTTTAACTTACTTGGTACTCGCCGGTGTGACTGTCCCACTGGATTTGATGGAAGTCGCGGTGAAACAGGTATTGAATTTTTTTTTACGGATATGTAAGTAATCTTTCCTCTCGCACTTACTTTAGTTTGAAGCGTTCGCAAGAGTACGGAATCTTTTGAAATATTTTCAAATACTTAGTATCTAAGATGCAGACAGCAGTTCATGAGTTGTGCATGATAAAGGACACCTTATGAGCATTTAAATGTATGCGGTTCCTTGTTATGAGAAATGTATCGTCGAGTTTATCTGATTTAGTGGATCTTCAATTAATAAATGCACGTGCTTAATCACCAGTATTTCCGCCTTGAATTATCGATCCATACCAGATTTTGACCCAACAGTTCTGAGAAAAGAGCGAAAAATCAGTTTTACTTTACATCTGACGAAGATCTGCAGGTTTCAAAAACCCTGTGAACAATCCTCAGAGCTGAAAGATTCCCTTCCTTAACGTTAAGGGCCGAGTTCCTCAAATACTGTCTTCTGTTGTGTCTGCAATTTTTGTTTCTTAACCCTTTCACTGCCAAGATATCATTGTTAATTCTCCTTACTGTCTCTCATACAATTCTTATGATGTTAGTTCTGAGAATTTAATATTGGATCAATTGATAATTTCTTAATTGATATTTTTCTTTATTCTCGTCACTGGTCTGCTTGTCTACAATTCTTACAATATTAGTTTACAGAATTTAGTATTGGATCAGCTAGCTATCCCCGAATTGATGTTTCTCTTTATTCTCATTGCTTATCTGGTTGATATTGTATTAATTTTATATTATTATATAAATGTTATATAATAATATTATATTAAATATTAAAGGAGAAATACTGTCTTGGTCACTCATGGGAATTTAAGGGTTAAATTGGAGAGAAATTATCCAGGACTCCGGTTAGCGTTGATTTTCTGGGAGTCACGTTACCCTAAAATACCCCAACTAAGGAGAACGTCAATTTCTTATCACGGGTTCTTATATGGAAACCATTCATACAAACTTCCTTGTTCAACAGGTGTGAAATACACTGAGAGATTCTCAGGACAGAGTTTTAAGAGGGTGCCAGCCAACTCAAAGGTCAATCTTCCGTGGAGTGTTTCAATGAGATTCCGAACAGCCAAGCCTTCAGGAACTCTGCTTGAAACCTCTTTTTCGTCATCATCTTCGGTGTCGGAGGTAAGTTATGTAAATCAAGGTACATGTTTTAAAAGTCATTGAACGTTCTTATACTTACGTGAACTTCGTTGCTATTTCAGTTGGTTGATGGTAAACTGTAATACAACTACAGAGGGCTGTTGGTTCTCCGATTGTCTCACATAGCGGTGAATGATACCCAGTGGCATCACATCGAGATCCTCTGGACAGATTCTTCCCTTAACATAACAGTGGACTACATTTGCAAAGTCTCTGCAAATGCATCCAGTGGAAAACACCTTGGAGTTGTCAGACAGTTTTTCATGGGAGCGAGGAAGAATTCTACCAAGTCTGCAGTGTATGATGGATTTAGAGGCTGTATACAAGGTATGCTTTTCTTAACAAATTCCTCTAGTTAAATTGTAGGCTTATGTTTCTGTAGCCTGTTCCAGGTATTAAATTAGTAGCAATGCACTGATTTTCCGAAGCTTGGAGGAAAAGATAGTTGTTTATGAGTATAGGTAATAACACGATTTCGAGTGCAATTTGGTGTTAATACGCTCGAGTAAATTTGTCAGTACCACAAAATTGCACTAGCTGTAGGGCGAGTGAAGTTTGTAGTGTTTTAAAACTTTATAAGTACTTATTACACTAAATTGCAAGATAAATCGTGTTATTACTTGTTAATAATTTACATGAAAAAACATCACAGAAAGGCAAGACAGACTAAAAGTTAGGTGTGAAGCGTTAATGTGAGTGCGTATGTGCGTGCGCACGTGCGTGTGCGAGCAGGTGCGTACAAGCGCGTGCATGTGTGTTCGTGCGTGCTTGTTTATGTAGTAAGGGCTGAAACTGTGTATTGGAGTGAGCATGGCAATAGCAGATGTATGAATATTAGGCCATTTCCGACTCCTTTTTCGTGAAAATAGCTTCGTTTGCAAAATAATTTATTTTCTTATGAGAAGTATCGTATCTGGGCTCGTTTTAAAACAGAGGCTGAGGCCTCTCGGAAATGGTCCAACTCGGTTACCCGTTTATATGAGGAGACACTAAACTCCCTCTTTCCCTATCCGTAGGGGTTTTTGTCGGGAGCACTGAGATCAACATGAACTCTGGAGTCAATCACAAAACAGCATCCATCTGGTTGTGAAGAGAAAATGAGAAGCCACTGCTCATCGAACCCTTGTCCAGACTACAGCACATGCCAAGAGGAATTCGACTCCTACAAATGCATATGTCCCGTAGGTTACGGTGGTAAACATTGCGTGCGCGTATGTTCTCTTAAGCCGTGCCGACATGGCAAATGTGAAAGTTCAAACCATGGAAAGGGATTCCGATGTGTTTGTCCTCAACAGTACACTGGTAAGTGGATTTTTTTTTTTTCATTTTTATCTTTTTTTTTTTTTTTTTCATTTAAAGTTATTCCTTATTCGACATTTGTGGGTACCATTTTAATGCAAACAAAGTTGTTATAAATGAAATAAATGATTAAATAAATAGTGAATAATACATGGGCGCGCGTAGATATGGAATTTCCCTTCGAGAGTTTCATTCGATAGCTCACTGTTTTGGTGTTTGAGGACAGTCTCGAAGGATCTTTTACACTAGGGTCAAATGTGAGAGATGTTTAACTCAATGATCTCTACAGCGAAACCATGACGACGTGCGATCAATATGCAAATTCCTAGCTGTGTTAAAAGGCACGACTAATGCACGAGTAATGCAAAGCCGCAAAATCACTCCAGGGCGCGTAAACAAATAAAAAAATCTTAATGATTTGCGGGCGAACTGGTACTGGTGATTAGGCGCGAACTTGCTGTGGGGCGAATTCACCAGTTAACGATATGCAACGCAAATCTCTCACTGTTGAACTTAAGATTCACTTAAACTTAGAGTTTGAATGTTTTGTATAATTTCCTAAGGGAATTTTGTGAGGTCCGCATGGAGATACCCTGTCGAGATAAGTACTTTGGTGCTTCAAGTATAGGCGTCTGTGGTCCGTGTAAATGTGAAGTGGAAAATGAATCTGAGTCCAGTTTGTAACAAGTCTACAGGAGAGTGCTACTGTAATGTAAGTACTACATGGAAGAAGCTTATCAGATGAACTTTATTTAAACCGTGGAAAGTTTCGAGAGTCTAAACCAGGGGAAAAAATCAGAGCAGTTTCTGTTTTTCTTTAAGAAGTCAGGAGAACAGGGAAACGCTTGCACCTCAAGCAACGGTCCCATCATGCCTAGCTCTTAACTCTTTGACCCTTAAGAATGACTAGCATCTAATTTCTCCCTGTGATATCATCCCTGAATCAAATATTACGGTCACGAGAATGAAGGAATTGATCACCAGTTAAGGAAGCTCTAGATAGTTTAACAAATTCTCCTTGTCAGGACCTTTGGAAAGGTGAAGAGAACAGTACAGAGATTATGCATACTGATCGTAGGTTGCATAGGGTTAACTGTACAAACATTGTCTGAACTTTTGCCACTTTCAAAGGCAGACCCCCTCGCGTGAAGAAGACCTGTTGAATCGGGTAACGCGTTCACTGCCTTATCTGTGTAAAAAGTTTTGGTGGCGGAGATAATAGTTTAATGGTGTCTAAATTTCCTATTTCTTGCCAAGTCACAAGAAACCCACGGTCAAGATGTGAAATTCTGACTAGGAGAGCTGTTTCGAAATGATTACATGACAAAACGTACAAACTTTTTGGACGGGAAAATCCACTTTTAATTTAAGTGTGCAGCTGCGAATGTGCAGAGGAAGTTCACTGGTCAATTTTTTCACCCTGAAGAGTGATTAGCATTTACTTTTTCCTTACAATATCAGCCCTGAATGACAAAATAAGGTCATGAGAATAATGGAAATGATTAACAACTACAGAAGCTCTAGATCGTTGAACCAATTCTCCTTGTTGGCCCCTCAGGAATTGTATAGAGAACAGTATGGAGAATATGCATACTGATGTTAGGATGTAAAGGGTTAAAGAAAGTTTTGCCAGAAAACGCAACCAAGAGAGTAGTTTACGGATCAAAACCGACTTTTCGATCCGGAATCCCTTGCGCTTACAATTTCTGCCTCTCTCAAGAACAACAACTTAAGTTATTATTTGATATGATCCACAGGCCCTTCTTCAGTCAGCCAGAACTCTGTTTAGCTCCGATAACAAAGATGTGTGGGACGTCGTTCAACAGGTAATAATTATTGGATCAATATCTGAGCACTTACCCTTCCTCCGACCCAAGAACGGTCAACTAATAACAAGTTAGTGTTGTTTTTTGGCTAAGGGAAGGGTAGGTGTGCAGTTGCGCAGGTACTGACCTTGATCCGAATTATTTTTATTCTTGTTGTTTTTTTTTTTGGCAAGTAATCCACGGTCGATTTGTCGCCGGTTTTTATTTCACTATGCTCTCCAATTGGCCTGTGAAACTCGCGCCCTTTCATCCAGTCGCTTTACTGCAAACAGAAGCCAATAATGAAGTGTTAACTGTGATCATCACACTTATTCAGAATGCACGCTACTACTAAGATATATTCAGATGTCTGTGGTCATCGCAGTAATCTGTAGTATTAATCTTTTCCGCTTCGGCTCCAGTTTTCAAAAATAATATCAACGTTCGTTCTGTTGACTTGCACAAACCGTTGACATGCGCAATCCGTAGCAAACGTGGGCGGACGTCAGCTACCAAGACGCAAGTATTAATAGCTGATTGTGATAGTACATGAAAAAGCACACAAAATTTTTCTCTGAATTAATTTGAATATTGCTCCTAGAAACGAATGACCAGTGGATTGTGACCTCCTTGTTTATATTGACACGAGCAAAAAAACAGATTGAAAACTTCAGCGGAAACTTGGCTAGAAGTTTACCGCACTTAAAACGAGACTCGCGCAGATACAGTCGTTGTACCGAAAGCATTTTGCCCCCGTACACGATTATTACACTCGATATTGGTAAGAAATATATTTTGTTGAGTTTGCTGTGTCTCTTGGCATTGTCTCTTTGCAGGCTAAAGAGGCCAAACATTCTGGAGTGAAGGAAGATTTGACCTTAACTTACCGGTCAAATGTAAGTACTGCCACTGATAAATGGTGGCAAGTAATGCGAAGTAATTATGTTCGCTCATTTTACCTCGCAGAACATCAACCAATGCCCTCTTCTTATACCTCACACTACCAATCACGTTCTCCGCCACACTGTTACCAATCAAATGTTTGTAATTGTGGTAGAAAAAAAGAAAACGATTTGCTCAGTTGTCAAGTTTGTTTGTCTAGTATTGACCTTGTGACTTGTGCAAGCAGCAGAGGTCTGACAGAATCAGTGTTGTGTGCACTAAAACCTGTTGTCTGTAAACAGTGCAGTACTCGCTTTGCTAATAACCTATCATTGTCGTCTCATTTAAAGTTTTGCAATGCCACTGAGGTAAGAAGTGTAGCTATCAAGCCAACTTTGATGACAGTACCTAGTTTAAAGGAAGCTTTATGTAGTAGAGGATTAAGCACTGCAGCTACTAAGGAAATTCTAGTTAAGCGCCTTGAAGGTGCATTGGCTGGGGAGGGGTAGTTGAATTATTTTTTAATCAACAGTTTAAATCTCCCAAAATATTTGATATGAAAGTTATTTTTCTTGGTCAAGTTGGTGCACAATAAGGCATACTTGTTATGAGAATGCTAACTAGGCTCTCAACAAATTCTGTGTACCAGTAATGTGAGTAATTTACATACTTCATAAGAAAAATATATTTAAATTGGTGCAAAATTTTTTTAAATTAGCTATGTTTGTCAGAGAGGTTAAACCTGTCCAAATGCAAAAGTACTGTTGTCACTGATATCACTTAGTATGCACTGATATATTACATATAAAACTTTATAAACCCATTTTTTTCTTACTGACTTGCATTTTAGAGGCAGGGTTTCTGCTTTAATGAATTTATGGAATTTTGTACTTAAAGGTTTGACCACGTAACCCTTTACATGCTAACAACAGCATGAATATTCTCTATACTGTTCTCAATATATTTTACAAGGTGTTGACAAGGAGAATTTGCTTAACAATCAAGAGCTTCATTAGTTAATTATTTCCCTCATTCTTGTGACCTTATGTTTAATTTGAGGTTAATATTGTAAGAAGAAATTAGATACTAGACATTGTAAGGGGTCAAAGGGTCAATAACTAATGACCCAGCATTTTGCTTATGTTGACACAATACATTTGTTTTAGTAATGGTTTGTCTTAAATAAAAGGTACAAGAATTTGCAGCTTGATAGTTTTAAGAGTAAGATGAAGTATACACAGATAAATGAAATTTGTATCTAAAAGGAGTAATTCTGTATACTGATAGGATAATTTCATAAATGAATCAGACATCATTGTTAGTCAAATAATAAAAAAGCTTTCAGCTGTTATGTTTGGGTAAAACCATACTTCTATTTATTTATTCCAATGTATTACAGTCTACAAGATACGAAGATTAAATTTTAGAATATCTGCTCGTATTAAAAACATGTTTCCCTCAGAACTTTGTTTCAGATTACATTCAGGGTTGTCATTCTTTTGATGTACGAAGTTTCCTGACAAGGTCTAACAAAACATTAGCAACTCCTACTGTTAATTAACTGTCAAGCTAGGTAGTGTTCAAATTCAATAGCTTTTGCAAATTTGAGTCCTTTGCAAATCCTTCTCGATCATAGCGCTGCACGCAAAATGTGGTTACTAACCTTTGTTGTTTTGTTGAATAAACCATTTGCAGCGGCGTAGTTTGTGTAACAACAACAATTGACCTGCCGCTATAACTTTGAAGCACGCGACCATCCTCGGGGATTTTCTCGAAGTGCCGCTTCTTGAGAAAATCCTCTCCTTTAAATCTCGCGAGGGACCAAATTTTTCTGCAGTGTCGAGCCTTTGGAAAGTTAGCGTTATTCTCTCACCATTCTTGGTTGTGTCCGCGCTTCCCCTGTAGCCTTGTACTAAAACCCAGATATGTTTAAAGATTTGAAATGGCATAAAGAGAGTGATGGGCGCCATAAGACCGGTCATTCTAGAGCGAGCGAGCTTCGCATTAATAGAGAGCCCGATCTCCTTAAGGAAGCCATCCACCAGGGGACCTACAAGCTCCAGCTTGTTGCCTGTGAGTTCTTCCGACACAGGATCAAGGTCTCTCATCCCGTAATTAGGTTTATTTTCTGCGAAACGAACCCTCCTCAACTATTCTTTCTCCGTAGAGAACTTCATCTCTACGGAGTTGGTATTCCAAAACTGGTCTCCTCTCTCTGTTTCATCCTCCATGCCGAAGTGCCTTAAACAGAGTTTGTTTGATGTGCTCGCGCTATCATTATTAGCCGCCATTTTTGAAGTAGCCTTTACTTTTCGTGCCAACTGCCGCTGACGATTTCTGCGCCAGCGCGCATCAGAGTTACGGGAGGAAAACCCTTGGCAACCGACCATTGTGATTTCACCGGTTGGATAAAATCACTCTTCATATTCACCTACAATATCTTGTTGAGAAATAAACCATGACAAAGCTTTGACTTAGCATTAGCATGAATAATAATTATTGCTCGATCAATTGTCTTCTTTAGTGATGCATGTTAATAATGACAAGAAAGTAATGCTTGTTAATATTGTCGTCTGTTAAAAATTTGATTAAATCTGAATTACTTAGGTTTGGTTTTCTTTTCTTTTCTTTTCTCACATAAGCATTCCACTTGTTGGGAAGATGTCTATCTTGAATGAGATCCTTTTTGGAATGGCTTCTTTTGCACTCAACCCTTCAATTATTCTGTTACGGTATTTTATCTGACGGTTCATAGTACCCGTAGGCCTCCACTTAGATGTTCACTTTGCTTGTCAAGCAAAGATAAATCAGTAGTTTGCCGTCCATATATGTACATGCATCTGTATATGCAGCGACTCCAGATAAAATTTCTCATTGCCAGAAAACATTTTAACGCTAAATTGACTTAAATTCCAAGGGTGTGAGTAATATGCAGACCCTTCTCAACAATCAGAACATCACAGTCGTGAAACATAACACCAAAACTTGCAGACTGATAAATATTTTATAGGGAAGGCTACATTCTCTTTTCCAGCGAAAAAATCTTCCCATGCTCAGTGATATTTTTCGAATGATCCCCAGGCTTTGCGCAGGGTATTCTACAATGTACCGGCTAACATTATTAACTTCACCTGAGGGTAACCTTCAGACACCTACCCTCGACCCAAAATTCTTTTACGCGAATAAAGGGTGCAATTCCGGCGATCTAACATACAAATGTAGTATATCTATTCATCCCTATTTCTATAATTTGAGCGCATTCGAAAATCAAAACAATTTAACAGCTCGTACCCTGCATATGCAACACATCCCAACTTGACATATCCAATATTAACTGCTATGTGGGAATTCTCGAAAAACGAAATAAATTCTGCCAATTTATTCAGCAATTAGAATATATCCAATCTTCAACCCGATCTTCTATTTTTATTTCAATGAATTCCAGAAAAACGGGGTAAGTTATGCGCAATAACTTAATATGAATTTAGGCGTTTTTTATAAAGCCCGCTTTCAGTTATCATTAACTTCCATGGAAATTCAAAACTTACGCACACCAACGTGCTATATAATATACTGTTCCCCGTTAGTTGTAATCATTCCTTAAAGAAGTCTCAATTAGAGACGAAACGTGTCGGAAATAAACGAGGAGCTTACAACTACAAGAACTGTTTCTTTGTGCAACTCGCTTGTCTTAGCAAAAAATGAAAAAAAAATGACGAAAATTACAAATTTTATAAAAGCATATTTTCTCAGTGAATTCTAGAAAAGCGAGGCAGATTCTGAGAATTCGTCCTTTAGGTGGAATAGATCCTAGGTTGCCAAATCCAATCTTTAACGGCGATTTTCCTTTTTTTTTTCGATGAATTCTAGAGAAACGGGGTGAATTTTGAGAATTCGGCCCGTAAGTGGCTAATACCCTAAGTTCCCATAAGCTATATTTACCCTAATTTTCCATTTGATCAGTGAATGTTAGAAAAAAGAGGTAGATTCGTAGCATTCATGCTACAAGTGACAAATACCCGAAGTTCCCATATGCTATCTTTACCCCGAATTTCCATTTTCTTTTTCAGTACATTTGACAAAAAACGGGGTAAAATCTGAGAATTCATCCTCCAAATGGATTAGATCCCAAGTTGCCATATCCATTCTTCAACCCGATTTTCCTTTTTTTTTCAATGAATTCTAGAAAAACGAGATAAATTCTGCGAATTCATCCGCAAGTGGCTGACAAATTATAACAAATCCATCCAAGCGTGCAATAAATCATACAATGATTTAGAAACAGTACTTAAAAGAAAAAAAAAAGTGAACAGCCAATATCAGCGGAACCGTAAGAAAATCACAATCTACTACGTCAAATTTTTTAACAGAGGGCTCGGTGCGATAGAGCAAAAACCCACAATATTCAAAATAAACAACTGAAGGAAGACTTCGTGATGTAGACAAATAATTACAACTTCGATCTCTCAGCCGATCTCACCTCCAGCACATCAGGTGAAGCGTCAAAAATACATAATTTTATGTCGACGAACCATAATCTATGATCTTCAACTATTAAAGAAAATAAAACAATTGTGATACGATGCCACATTGTGCTTTTGTCTTAACTTGTGGGTAAAATGTTGTCATTGGGGTCACAAGTCGAGCAATGAAGATTGTAAATAAAGCAAGACTGCGTGGACAATAACGCATCCTTTCGTCGAAAGTCGCTTTGTTATTTACGCAGCAAATTGTTCTTCCACGTTTAGGTTATAACGACGATTCGATAAAACGGCGTGAACGAAGAAACGATAGAACTTCAAGGAAAGTAATGTGTGTGAGAGAGGTTAATGATCCGGTTCGCAATGACCATGCCGATAGCAAGTTTTCCTGAAATCAGTATGAGTACTTTTGCTTGAAGACATAACTACAACGGAGTCTCTTGACCAGTCCCAAGCCGCGTGTCGCTCGATAGACCACAGGATATGATTGGCCACTGTATCACATCACGTCAGAGGACACATTTACAATAAGGGGACATAAGTGCAACGGTACAAACGGTAGATTAAGCACCCGATGATTCGCTTATAATTAACCGCTTACATGCGGGTTTAATTAGCATCAAATTAACGCATATAAGCGGTCAAAGTAGGGTCTATTTACTTACTGTGAGCCTGTGACGTATGGGATTAAATTAGCGCCCTGTGCGGCACCCTTCGCTGACCCCTTTGCTTATTTGCTTTATTGTGGTTTTCATGACAGAACGAAACACTCATTCTGGACGACCTTTCAGAACACGAAAACAAAAATACCGCTCAAAAAACTGAAAGAGATGTAAGATTGCTTGAAAGATTTTTGAAAACGAAGGACGAAGACAGGAAAATTGAAGATATTCCAGCGGCTGAGTTGAATTAATTCATTAGCGAATTTATTATCTCCGTACGCACTGAAGATGGTAACGAGTACGAGCCGACTTCGCTTCGAAGTTTAATGGCCAGCTTCGAACGACATTTGAAGAAAAAGGGCTATTCTGCCGGCATAATCAACGACTTGGTCTTTCAGAAAACCAGAAAAGTTCTTCAATCCAAGCAAAAGCAGCTAAAGAAGCAAGGAAAAGGGAATAAACCGAAAGCATCGGTAGCTTTGACAACCGAAGAGTTAAAGATATTGTACGAGAAGGGTTTGCTCGGTATGTGTAGTCCTGAGGCGCTATTAAACACGCTCTGGCTAAACAACACTCTTCACTTTGGACTCCGTGGGTGCAAAGAACATCGTGATTTGTGTTGGGGAGATGTAAAGCTTCACAAAACGGCAAATGGAGTGGAATACTTGGAGTTCAATGAACGTCAAACGAAAACTAGAACTGGCTCAGACTACAGCAATGTCAGAGCAGTACCGCCGAAAATGTTTGCGACCGACGAAACTGAAAGAGATCCTGTCGCAGTCTACAAATTTTTTGCCAGGAAGAGACCCGAGGAAATGAATCAAGACAATGCTCCCTTTTATCTGGCCGTAAACAACGGTTTGAAGGCGGACTCGCTCGCAAGAAAAAGCTGGTTCAAGTCCGGTGCGGTTGGCGCAAACAAACTCAACGGTTTAATGAAGACGATGGTGCATAAAGCAGGAATCGAAAACGACAGGCTTCGAAATCACAGCGGCGGAAAGACAATGATCCAGACGCTAAGTGAAAATGACATTCCCCTACGCAAATTGCACAGCTATCTGGCCATAGGAATTTGAAGAGCATAGAAAACTACAGCACTGTTTCAACGAAACAACAGATGCACATGTCAAAAGTGCTAAGCAGTGTGGTGGCTGGTACTCCAGCTTCGTCCTCTTCTGAAACAGCTTGTCCGTCGTCCTCCGACTCCCAGAATACCGGTAAGCAGTCCATGGCACTATTCAGCGGAGCTGTTATTCAAGGTGGTAATTTTTCCATTTATATCAACACAGTAAATCAGTCTCCGACGCTTACCATAGATCCGTCAAGTCCCGAAGCGGCGAGATGGAAACGTCTGAGGCCTTTAGAACTGGAAAGTGACTCTGATGATAACTGAATATTGACTTTCTTTACATGACAGAGTAAAGAGATTACTTCATAGAAAATGCGCGCGTACTATTTTTATTCACGAGTTGTGTAATATCAGAAAACTCACTCGTTCGCTGCGCTCACTCGTTCGTTTTCTGATACGTATCAACGAGTGAATGAAAATCGTACAAAGCATTTTCCATGCTGTAATGTGTTTATTTCATAGGTGCTGAGATTTTTTCGTGTTGTCTTTGGTAGACAAATAGCACAAATGGGGCGATGAAAAGCGTAAAAAGTAGTTCTAGGAGATAATAAATTCGCTAATGAATTCATTCAACTCAGTCGCTGGAATATCTTCAATTTTCCTGTCTTCGTCCTTCGTTTTCAAAAATCTTTCAAGCAATCTTACATCTCTTTCAGTTTTTTGAGCGGTATTTTTGTTTTCGTGTTCTAAAATGAATTCTTCAACTGAGTAAACAGAAGCGAACCTTCCCTCGGCCATTTTTCAAAGCGCGCGGGTTTTGTGCAACGGCTCTCGCATGACGTTCTCTTCAGTACGTTCATTCATCATTAGTGAAATTTCGTCGTTCGCGTTGCTGATTGGACGAACGATAATTTTTCACGGTGAAATTTTGTCGTTCTTACTCCTGATTGGCTACATTTAGAATCAGTACGAATTTTATTCACTACGATTTTTGTGGGTAAATCTCAGTACCTATGAAATAATCTCTATTTTCTACCTGTATAATGTAAACGCAGTACGACACATATTTCTATGAATCCTCTCTAGGAACGAGGGAAGCATAGAAAAAGACAGAAAAGGACATACATACTTGCTTATACAGGCTAAATTATCTTGCTTGTAAACGCGGTATGAAATTAATTTCGTTCCGGAACGAAACTTATTTGGAATTATGTAAAAGTAGGAGTAATGGGTTCCTGGTAAAAGTACCTTAGGGACGAATCATCAGATTTTTGAGGGGAGTAGGGACTGGGCACAAAAAGCTGACCTCCGCGCGCTTATAGCGCAGTATAATTAAGGCAAGAAAACCTTGGGTTAGTATATGAAGAGTAACAAATGGGTCAAAACGATTTCGTTATTTTCAAACACTAGTTATTGTGAGAACCGATGTCATCGCAATTGTCAGTCTGTTTTCCTCTGTAAGATGAAAAACTATTGTTAAAGGTGAATCTGGGAGGCTTCAATGTTGTCAAGGTAGCATTCTATTTAAGTGAAAGCATAACGTCTTGATGAGGAATAATTTTGCAATTATTATTTCTATGCATATTCTCTATACTGTTCTCTACACATTTCCTAAGGTGCTGACAAGGAGAATTTCTTAAACAATTCAGAATTTCTCAAGCTGGGAATCATTTCCTTTATTGTGACCTTAATGTTTCATACAGGGATGATATTGTCAGCAGAAACTAAATGCTAGTCACTCTTACGAGTTAAAGGGTTAACGCATGCGACAGCGTTTTGCTGTTGTTACAGAATAAAGGACTCGATTGTTTGTTCATAAAGCCGTTTCAGAAAACATTGAAAATGAAAAATCCCATGCAGCAAATGGTAAGGGGTTCTCGAATATTTTTTCCCACGGTTTGCAAAAATGTTTGAAGGATAATTAACATGGTAGCCTCCTTTTTGCGTGAAAATATGCACGGATATTAGATCGTGGGCATTTTCTGAGAGACGAAGCTCGAGGAAAACTGTGAACTTCAAGGCTATTGCTAGTTAACTTGCTATTGAAATACACTCTTTTACCGCTAAATAGATAAAGCTAGATAATATTCCTACCTTTTGTCCAGAAAAAAAAAAATATCCGTTTCATAACCGCCTTTGCCATCAATCTGTTAAAAAGAGTGGATAGACCTGTTAACAGAGCAAGAAAATATAAAGTAAAATAACACACTTCACTTTAAAACAAGGAAATATTTGGCTCTAAGTGGAGAGCGTAACACCTTCGTTTTTGCTAATCCGGAAAGGTTTGAAACGTTATGTGATTTTTTATTTATTTATTTTTTTCTGGCCAAATCTAGCTTACAAATATACAGAGGTCTGTATTTGTTTCGCTAATCATAAATCCCTGCGCGAGGTTTGGACTGGACCGCTGTCTTTTGTTTTTGTTGTGATTTCGTTTCTTGTTGGCAGGAATCAATAATGCTAAAGAGAAGACTTCGCACATTTATTGATATAACGGTGCTGATCACGTGTAATAGAGTGAAGCGGTAAGGCAGTTTTCTTTTCTTTTTTATTTTTTTCAGCCAGAAAAAAAATGGCTTCGACAAAACCTCCTTCGCGGCAACGAATATCAGCTGATATTTGCTGCACTGTTCAATTTCCAAACGCAAATCCTTGAGTATAGCTGCCGTTAATCTATTTGACAATTTTTCTTTTTCTTTGGTCGTAAACGATTCTTTAAATCTATGGTTTTGTCACGAGATTGTTTTCTTATCTTTAGTGCCCAGCAAGCTTCCTCAAAGGGTGGCTGCTGAAAGACTAAAAGCTGCAGAATTCATTCAGGTCACCCGGATTCGCAATAAGTAGATTCTAAGTGAGCTCTGTCAATATCCTCTTTGTTAACACTGAGGAATTTCTCCACCCAGTCTCTTTTAAGTCTATCATAAGCTGTATCAAAATTTCGGCGAATGTGGCAGTGCTCGCCAATATCAAGGTGACTCTCTAGTTCACTGCATTTTTTAAAAACCATGTTGCAGCCTGGCTCAGAACCAGCGAAAAGACCATTCGATTTTCCACCATCACTATTTGTTGTTGTCTTATGGAGCCGAGCTGCCTTGAGCGGGGAGAAGTTCTCATTTACAACAAGTCCTGTAGGACCCTGAGGCTTAACGATGAAATCTTGGTAAGGAATCATCCTACCCTGCCCAATAGCATAAGCTCTCCATATTCGTATTCCTTCAACCCTCAAACTTGAATTTGTGAAAGAAAAAACAATCAAACGAACAAAGAAACAGACCGTTTCTAAAACACACCTTTAGGGTAGCACATGTTGTCCAGGTTCCTCAGGGTACATGTCAATCCTTTTTTTTTGGGAAACGTATTTGGGGCTGTCCTGGTGTACCGGTACACGGGGGAATTCCTCTTGTTTTCATATCCATACATGGAGTTGTGACGCAGTTAGTTAATGTTTCGTTCCTTTGTGTACTGGTACACGAAGACACAACCACGTATTTGCTCTGTATCTTTCTGCAGTCTGTGCAGATTATTAGTAATTCACATATTAACGCTTTCTGTCAAATCGACACTGGATTTGTAATTTTTAGACAGGAAAAATAGACAATAGGAATGTTAAAACTGGGATGGGGCATTGGGATCGGAACAAATTAAGGATGGGAGAGAAAGATCCATACCCAACCATATCCATCTACTTTTCCCACCTATTCCCACCGCTCCCTCTTTTCGGGGGCCTCTAAATAACAACACAGTTTCCCCTCTTGGAACGCTTCAGCAACAGTGAAAACCTCTGTTTCTTTTCTCGCTTTATGCTAACTCCCAATATAAGCCAAAGTAATATGTGTTATGAATAAAGGGGTAAGTTTCTAAAGAAACTGTGGTGCTGCGTCGGTGGGAGAGTATAGCAGGTAATTTAGTGTTAACAACTGGGTTGAAAACGTAAATTAGCCACCGTAAAGGGTAAAAAAGCTGACGTTTCGAGCGTTAGCCCTTCGTCAGAGCGATTGCGATCGCTCTGACGAAGGGCTAACGCTCGAAACGTCAGCTTTTTTACCCTTTACGGTGGCTAATTTACGTTTTCAACCCAGTTGTTAACACTAAATTACCTAATATGTGTTATGGACTCACTCGCTTGTAAAATGTCCTGACGGATACAAAGTGATTAGATTGACAACAGTACGTAATGAAAGTGAAACCCAGCGAAATCTACCTTTTAATTTGTCTGTAACGACTAAAACCAAGCCTTACCAGAAGCGTTTCTCTCCTCAGATTACCAGATTAGTTAAAACGACTTGAAAATTAATTAATTTTTACTTGCGCGAACCAACAGACACAGTGTCTCCCATGATATTTTTTATTTCTCTTGCTGTATTGAAATTAACATCATGTGTTCCAAAAATCGCCGATTTTTTCCTTCATGTCTTGGATCTTGGCAAGTTTTCGGCGCTTGCCAGTACTTTCCTAACCCATGACGATGAGCTGAACAAACCGTCATTTTTTCTATCCGCTCCTCAGTGATCTCCAAAAACCAACCCTTGCTGATATTAGGTCCTTTTCAGACACACTTTCCCTGAAAAGGTGGTGTTAATTAGATGCGCATTGATATCAGAATTACAACACTCAAAGATACTAAATCTGTACCTCCTCGACTAGTTTCACATTTGCCTCCCGAAATGCTTGGAAACGAACACAACGCGGCCCTTCTTTAAAGCAGCTAATGCGAATCTTCTCCATGAGAACTTTCAATCATACCCGTCGCAATGTAAAAATTTTCGACGTGTTGAGTATAAAATTTGCATGTTACATTATTTGAAATAAGCTCAATTAACATAAAAGCTTACAAACAGACACAAAAAAAAAAAAAAAAAAAAAAAAAAAAAAAAAAAGAAAAGAGATATATTCAATGGAGTTACGCTTTCGGTGCATAGTAAGGTAATTTAAGTTGATTAATTGCAGTAAAAAAGGTAATTTATCACTCTTATCGTTTACCATTTATTTCGACCATTCATTCATTTGGATGTGGTTAAAAACGAATCCGTGACATACCAGCGTGACACATGACTGAAATCAGCATTCTCGTAGCTCAGGTAACATGTAGTTGTCTTCATTATTACACCTTTTACATGAGCGTTTCTAAATCTGTAAATAACGACATTTTAATTTTTTTTACAACACAAGATGGTCATGACTAACTAGATGGAATTTTGTCAACTTGTTTTTTACAGTCCGCCTGAGACAGTTTAGCATAATGTTACGCTGAAGACGTTCCTTTCTAACTTCGTAATTCATAATTTTCAGGCACGTTTTGATGAATTTATGGATTCCTCGCCTTAAAAAAAAAGCTGAGCTAGTTTTCAAAATAGACACTTCTTCAGATATTCATTTTGAACGAGAAAGGAAGTAACCACAAATATGCATAAATTAAGCCATGCGCACTTTGACCATGGAATATTACCAAAGTTCATCGAGCTCCTGCAGGTGGGAAACACCAGTCCCCAAAAATGTTTTTCTTGATTTTGAAACACTAGTCCAAGTGCTAAACACGGATAGTGGTCAGGACTCCAGATTCCGTTATCCCTTTGAGAAAAGCTTCTTGGAACTACAGCACGCTTGCTTAAATTTGAAATGGGCTGTCTGTGTGGTATTTTTGTTACATCGTAACTCTCAGTTATTGAGTCAGATTTTAGATATTTTGCCATCAATCAATAGAAGCGACGTAAAATTATACAACGTGTCCCTTTTTTGTCATTTGATAAGATGCGTCAAGTTTTAGACCCCTCAGCGAAAAGCTTAAAATTGACTCTGAAATGAATAATTTTCCTTGTCCTGGACCGTCCTTGCATATGATCGCTAAATTTTGGCGAAATAGCACTGCAAACCAATTAAATCTGATATTTGCCTATAGAATAGGGTAATCATCTCACTGTGAAAATTTCAAAGAATCCTGTGCTCCGCCGAAATTCGAGTGGTCGGTTCTTTCGCGGACAGCCTCTTAAACTATTTACGGTGGTCAATTTACGTTTTCAACTCTGTAGTTAACGCTAAATTACCGTATTATACTCTCCCACCGACGCAGCACCACACTTTCTATAGAAAATTACCCCTTTTATTCGTTTCACAATAAGTTGTATTTTTCAAGCAACTCTAAATAAGACAAATTAAAACGTTTCTTTCCGAGCGAGAGATCATTGTAGGAGCCACTGAGACGCAATCAATAAATAAACACTGCGAGCTTTGTGATGGTGATGGTGACAGGACAAGCTCTGCTTGCCGATAGGTTCCTTCGCGCATACCTCACATGAAAATTTCGTAGGAAGCTGTAGTTGTTTTTTTCCCGTGTGATGCCATACATCAGTCAGAGTCATAAGTGGCGCAAGCACGACTTGAGGACCAAGCGAAGTATGACCCCCTTTATTTGATAGAAAGAAAACAATGGCAGATGGCAAAAATAACAGTTCCCCTCTGGGACTAATGCTTTTTAAAAGCAGTTTGCAGTTTATCGGAAACCATTTTTTTTCAAGTCGAAGTGGGCAATTAAAGTTAACTGTGTTGTATTTATGTGCATTATGTTGCGTTTCTCTTCGTTATGCGACTCTGTTAACGGTGGATCATATTTTTGAACACCTGCCACGAGTGAATAGAACACGTTTTGTTGCGTGATCGCTCAAGGATGTTGACGTTTCTTTAATTAAAAAGCTTATAGCTTGTTTAAATTAGCTGATATTCTCTAAATTACAAACACATCTTCGAGTGTGCTCCTTAAGATAATTTGCCCACTGAAACGACTGCGCTCAAGAGTAAGAGAGAAATAGAAAAATAGTATCCCAGTTGTCCTCTGCAAAACAACAAAGTAAGATCATCTCATTTTTTTTGTTAAAGTATTGTTTTATTGATTAGTTTTTCCTTTAAACTCCAAAAATTGAAATAGTTCAGTGACGTCATTGCTCCAACTTCCTTTTTCGACCCATCACTTAAGTCGCACAACTTCGATATATGCCCAAACATTGGCCAATCAAAAGCGTTTCTCGTTTCCACAGAGACATCAGGTTGACATTACAAAATTAGCCGGAGGAGACTAAAAGTACGCCACTCACATCCTTGATTCAGAGTCGTCTAAATTGAAGAGCTGGATTATTCCTAATGAAGAAATTCTGAGAGTAATTTCTTTTCCAATGACTTACTCAATTTTGAGACCATTCGCCTTCACTGAGATGGTAAGTTTTAATTTTAAACAATGCACCAATGTTTAGGGAATTTATTTTTTCCACAGAATTTTATTTTTTCCTGGCAATACATGGTTATTGTTTTCCTTTCCATATTTGCTTTGTACTTCTCGTAGAAACAAAACCATTGAAATTTATAGCGTCCTTAAGATGTGGTGTGAAATTTCATAACCCGACTGTTTAATAATGACATATGCTCCTGCTAAGAGTAAGGAGAGTGGGGGAGGGAGCAGTGAGTAAACCTTGAAAGGATAAAGTATGGGAATTCTTTTGGTTATTTCAAAGATTAAAGAACTTATTTTCAAAATTTGTGGCGAGTGACTCAAAAATTCATGATCTGTTGTTCTGTTCAGTGGCTACGTAAGTTAAAATCTACCTCCTGCGGAGATTTTGTTATGTTATTTTTGCTAAAAAATTACAATAACAAGTTTCATGCAAGAATAAATGTCATAGCTCAACGACAAAAATGTAACAAAAAAAATAGAAGGAAACAAAAGTTTCAAAGTTAAAGATGATAGCTGCGATAGCAAACAATTTCGTGGCAGTAGCGAGACAAGAGTAATATTAAGTAAAATTAGGTTTATTCGTGATAAATTATTTACCTTGAACGGAAGCTCTTCGCATGGAACACCGTTTTAATTATAGATGTCATGAAGAGCTGTTTTCTAAAAATTACTCTGTTTTCATCATTTAACAATGACACTTATCTCTTCCGCATGGTTCCTTTTAATAATCTAAATAAGACCCAATTGCGTGTGAAACCTATCCGCGTATGTGTCATTTACATGTTGTGTTCGGCGCATTAAGTTTGCCTGAACGGACACTAATACTGTGTTTATTTCTCAACAGTTTTACCTGGTCCTAGTTTTCATTCTTTGCCAAGTACAAGCTCGAGGTATTTGATGAATTTTCCTCGCAAGTTTAAAATTCCGAGGATTTACCCTTAAAGTTATGTTATGGTCAATTTTTACAATGAAATCTCTTTCTTGGGGATAAAGTTACGATCAATGTCCGTGCCTTTGAGCTATTGTATAACAGAAACGTGAATGGAACTTTATAGCTTATTGCAAACAAACGAAATAAGCGAAATTTTTAAAGCTCTTCCTAAACTTTTTATCAAAAAAAAAATCCAAAATTTAAAATGCCGCTATTCTTTACTAACTTGTTTTGTAATCCTTTTTTTTTGGACATAAACAATTGGGCACCCATTGTTATTCCTTGTCAATATTTTTCATCAATGTTTTAAGATATGATTCAAAATAGCACCTGCCTTATTCCATATTTTTATTATTACCTGGATTTAAGGTTTTTGTAATGAGAGAAATGTCTGACTTCATTAGAAGAGCGAATTGAATCCATCCCGACAGTAAAATTGGATGTCTTACAACGGTTCATGGAAGCTGTAAATGTACTGGGTGCATCTATGACATTTCCTAAGAATCGTCTCTTTTATTCAATGGATCTAATTTTTCGAAAAGGGGTAATAAAGGGTATAGACTACTTAAATTTATAAGATATACCTGCAGTTCATACGTCATGGATTAGGCTGCTACTGATATTTAGGATCATTACAATCGAGTGTAATAAAAGCCCGAGTATGTAATTCAAATGGCAGAAATTTTTTTAAAAATGTGTAATCAATAAGCTCAGGAATGGAATTTTTTTTGTTTCGGCGTACCAAAATCACACGTAGAGTTAACGTGCAAACATCGAATGGTGGCTTGGATTGCAGTTCCGAAGTGTAGCATTTCACATTCTTTACCACGTGTCACAATTCCTTAAATATCCTCCCATGCCACTCAGCCCAAGCTAATCAACCTGCAGTACACGAGCGGATTCAAAGCTCTCGCATGAAATCGAGGCACGAATTCAGTCAATCCAAAATGGCGCCAAAACACTGAGATTAAAGCATCTAGAGAAGAAGTGACACAAGTAGTCTCCGATTTGCTAACTTCAAACGTAAAACATCAAAAGTTTAGGTTCAGTTAAAATCATCCACCTAGATGATTCAGACAGATAAAATACTCTTGGATTTCTTGAGACAAAAAAAAAAAGGCGCAAAGCAAAACAAGCAGATGAGTGCGTGGCAATCATCATTGAATACTGCACGGTTTTTTAGTTAATTAAGTCAAGATTTTTTTTTATAGCATTGTATACTTTGCTCGTACAAATTATATCAAGTGCAATGTCTAGAGGAAACCTATGATGAAATTTTAAAATTTTTCTGATACCTCTTGCCATTTTCATGCTCAAATGGCGAAATATTTCAATGCCACAGCAATAAGAAAACTACACCTGCACTTCGCACTCGGAAAACTTGAAAGTGTTCTGGCAGACCGTTCGATGCAACCTCGCCATTTTGCCCGGGAGGACATCTCTCATTTTCGATTCCCGTCCCTCATTCGTTTGCCCATTCATCTGTTCATTCATTCACCTATTTATTGATGCATTCGCTTATACATTTACTTATTTTCATCCATTCATTCATTCCTCAAGTCCAATCGCTGGTTAATTCTTTCATCCTCTTTATGTTCTATTCTGTTTGATTGTTCCTTTTTTCGTGTCCATCAGAAACGGAAATACTTGCAAAGAGTAGCGTAAATCCACAATAGAGCTTTGAATCGTTTACAGATCCGTGCTCGAAGGAATCTTGCAAGAATGGTGGAACTTGTTACAGCGGTTCTGAGCGCTGCAGTTATCACTGGGGGTCCTCTGGAAATGACTGTCGCTTTGAGGGTAATGTAGAGTTGAGGATCCTTTTCCACAATTATTCATTACATGTGCACTGGAAGTTCTTCACACATAAATGTTTTGCCTTGATTTTACGTGTATTACAGGGTGCAATAGATCTCTTGGTATTCTGAGCGGTGAAATCAAAGATTGGAGGATCACTGTACGACCCTTTCGTTACTACAGATATAAACCCAGTCCTGTGAGCCTGCTTCTTGAAGCGACGGGAGGAGCGGGGGAAACTTGGAAACCCTACTGGTTTTATAGAGACCTATGGTTTCAGGTTGAACTCCATAATGGATACACCTGGGTTACTGGGATAGCGACACAAGGAAGGCTGATTGCATACGCGCTGCTTTATTGGGACTGCAGAGTTCGGAAGCAGTGGTACACGGAGAGAGGACAAAGGCATGTCAAGGTCAAGGAAATAGCGTGAATCATACTGTAAAATCAAAAGACACAGTATGTTTTCTTGCGTCAGACCCAAAACATTTCTGAGAAGCTGTGTAGACCCACAGGTCTCATGGAACAGAAAGAGGGGGGAGGGACTAAACCAACTAGACCATCCTGCTGAATTTTCCATGGTTATGATCAGTTATGGAGACGTGAAGATTAGTTGTTTCGAAGAAGTAACCCTCCTTGGAGATCAGTCTTACTGAAACCCCAAGAAGCTCCTCATATAAGTGATACATTTTCATTCTATAGGAGTTTGATTTGCAGAAATCCACTCAGGTCTAAGTATCCTGTACTAATCGTTTCTAATGGTTTTCGTTTACCCGTTGACGGTGCGAAAATGACCTTTCTGAGGTACATTCATTTAAGTTGTGGATATATGACTTCCAGAGTAGCGAGCATGTCAGTCTTTTTACTCTGCTGGAACAAGAGCGAAGACCTCGTAAGTATTTCAGCTGTTAGATGATTCTTTTTAAGGCCAGAAATAAAATAAGCATGTTATCTTTCTTAATTTCTAGATTTTCACTGGAAATAGACACAAATCTTTTGTTCGCAACAAACTTAAGACACCCATCAGAGCTAGATTCTTCCGTATCTATCCATTGACTTGGAGAGGAAAGATAGAAATGAGGATGAAGCTGTATGGTTGTAAAGGTAAGGTGGATGTAAACGCTCATTTAAATGACAGGTAGAGAATAGATGGTAATTTCTGATTATCTATATGGATATCGCTGAATTTTTTTTCACTGTTGGCTGATCGTAAGAGGCAAGGTGATCTTATAGTTTTAAGGCTATCCGGTCATCTCGTTCCATGGCCAAATCGTTCTAAGTCAGATTTTACCACTCAACAGTCATCATTTCACCAAATAATCAGTTCGTTCCACGCATATATTATATATTTTCTAAACGTGTAAAGGTGATTTGAGTACCGAGTAGCGATCAGAACATAGAGGTGCATGAACCAGAACAGGTTTCTCTCGCGAGTAATACTGTTTGACCCAAAAGCACTTTACATCTGGTGCGCCAAAAACGCAGGCTACGTAGTACTTTATTGAATATCCTTTGTTCTGTGTTGTGGTCAAAAGTCGACAAAGATATACCCTCGCTATTGTGTGAATAGCTCTCACATCGTTCCGTAATACACACTGAAATTAACATACGACGCTCTCACTATTACAAAAATAGTTCTGAAAATATTTTCGTCTATGTTCCGATCGCTACTCTGTACTCAGATTAAAGTTAAACATTTAGAAAATATATATTGTAAGTGTGACCCTCCGCGGGATATCAGGGAATAAGGTGAACGCACGCACACGGCACGCTCGCACTCTAAAGAAAAAGAACTAGCTTTTAACACGTTAGCTGCGTGCTAGCTACTTGCCTCATTAACTTCGTAGCCATTGTCTTGCTTCGCATGGTAGAAACAAAGGAACGTGTTAAGATATTGCTTATAATTTTGCACGATATAACACGATAACCGTGCCAATTTTATGAGACGCCTCTTAAAGTTGCTTTCGATTTGTAAGGGAAGTACGTCCAAAGCTTTAAGGCTTTTTAGCTCACCGATACACTAAGCTGATACGATACTCAGTATCCAGTGCAACTTCGGTCGCTAAATCGCCAAGCATAAAGGAATGTCTCGACTTGTTGTCCATAATTTAAGACTGTGTTTGAGTTTTTTCCTTCATTTTTAAATTCGTCATTTTCTTGCGAAAAAACGGGCCGAACGAGCAAAGTCCTCTGCTCCTGAAATCGTGAATAAACTTTTGAAGGTAACAAGCACAAGCTTTTTGAAGTAACAAGAGCGAACCTGTGTGATGCAAAGCAAATGGCTACTTCGTTGAGGGTAAATTGTGTTCTCACCATGTTAAATTTGTAAACCAACAAGTACGACAGTCCGCGTGATGCAGTGGTAGCGCTTGCGCTCTTTAAATCGACGGTTCGATTCATGTGCACCACGTGAACGTCATCTTTTTTTATATTCTTTATCTGACGGAGTTTGCAAAACAATTCGACATCTCATATACTTTTTTGCCGTGAATGTTTCCTCTTTTATTACAACTTTCGAATGGGATAGAAGATCTTCTTTATTTTCGCCTATATTCTGTAAGCAATATACCTTACAAGTACCATCCTCACAATTAAGAAGCTGACAAACACAAGTAAAAAAGTGAGCTGGGCTGTACAAGATAAACTAGCGTGTTAAGGAAATAAAGGAACTCAGCGTGTTATAACGTGCCGTGTGCGTGCGTTCACCTTATTTTCTGATACCCTTCCAATAAGTATGTGGAACGAACTGACTCTTTTGTGGAACGATCTAACAATTGAGTTGAACGGTCTGACTTGGAAGATGTGACAATTGAACAAAATGACCGTAAATCGTTTCAAGGATAACCCTATTTTTTGTCAGACAGAATTATGTTAGTTTCGAAACTACTTCAGGACAGCATTACTTTCTTTAATAATTATTCTCTATGATTGATTTTGAAAACTCGAGCCATCTTCTCGATGAAAACCAAAACCACTCAGCCATTAAGGAATTTTATTGACATGTTTTCTTGTGGTATTTTTTTTTACTTTTATCTAACTGGCCGTGGTGTCGTATCACTAATTTTGAAGCCTTGATTATTTTTCTTCCTTATTGTTTTTCTTTGGATTGATTTTCCCAGGCGTATGTTTGTCCATGCCATGTAAGAATGGAGGCAAATGCGTTCCTGATTATATCAACGAGAACTACACATGCGTTTGTCCTAATGGATTTTACGGTGATACCTGCAGATTAGGTAAATAAGTGTTCAATATGCACCATAATATTCATCGAGATGAAGTGGTGGTTAATGCTTGTGAATGGATTGGGTGGAATCCAATTTGGTCTGAAATTATGCGTGCACGCTTTCCTAAAAGAACAGGGCGACCGTGAAGCGGAAATCAACAACGTCTTCTTATTAGTGAATTATAACTATGAAAAAATTGGAGATAGAAAATACAAGTCGGTTAGGTTGTTTTTAAAGATGAAGAAACAATTGACGTTTTCAGAAGAAAATGAAACCAATAATCTCTACAACAGCGCTCCTCGTATAGGTTGTACTACCGGGTTACACAGGCAAGACGCCTACACTATATCCAAATTGTAATGTCGATCACCATCACGTTCAACTCTTTTCTTACGGCTCTGAGATAGAAAATACCCGCTGAAATGAACATCACAGTGGCAGAAGGTAGTTGTGCAAAGCTGCGTGTCAATTTGACAAAAATGCAAACGTTGATATCAAAACTCAATTCCCTTTTTTGTGTTTAAAAAAGCAAATAATTCATGACTCCAGAATGAATCCTATTTGCCATTTCTCTATTCCATAACTTGTATTTAATTTTACCATTTAACTGACTGTTGGCATTTGTTTCACAGGTGACTTATGCAAGCTTAGTAAACCTTGCTTACATGGAGGCAACTGCTCAGCAGTCAGATCCTGGCCTTATTTCAAGTGCACATGTCCTTCCAATTACACTGGTTTCGACTGTGGATTCGAGATAGGTAAGTATAGTCCAGACACGTAGAAAGCACAAAGAAAAATAAACAATAACTGCAAGGGTGAAAGGTGAAAACGAACGCACAAGCAAAAAAACGATCAAACAAAACAGATGCAATAGAAAGATTGTTAAAAATTATACAAAATGATTTCGTTTAAATTGTGCATCGGTTTTTGTAGAGGGATAGTATGAGGTTATCCTGGTATTGAGCGATTTCCAATTTAGTATCGAAAGTAATCCAAGTTTATTTTTGTTTTGCTTTACTTCGCTCTGAGATTGGTGCAAAGAACTCGCACTACCACCTTAACCAATAAAACACTGAAACCAATCTCAACTTGGTTCCCTCCCCCCCTCCCTCTACTTTCCCCTTATTTTTTCCCGCACTTTCAGAGGGTTGCTTGTTCTTACAACGAGGTCTCATTGCTTAATGATTAAACTCAATCTTACAACTGCTCCAACATGTAAATCCACTGAACTAGCAATCCTCTTTTCTTTTTACAGGTGATCCGTGCAATCATAACTTTTGTCTTAACAATGGAACTTGTCAGCGTATAGAAGCCTGGCCGTACAGCCAATGTATTTGTGGTTCTGGATACGCTGGTTTTAATTGTGGAACCCCCACAGGTATGAAACAGCATAAAACCTCAATTTACAACGGTGGGCGCAATAAAATGTGTCCAGTGAGTAACATCCTTACCCCATCAATATTTTTTCACCACTTTTGTGAAATACCATTGATCTAGCAGGGGTTCCTAACATGCTATTTACTAGTAGCATTTCTGGACTGACCAGAATTCTGCATAATGTGGACTTGAAACAATACTCTCAGTCCCTTGCTCAGGCAGGAACAAAGAGAGAGTGCAAACGTCTTAATTAATCAAGCTTACAAGTTGATGGAAAGTCGGAAAAAAAAAAACATTTCCGGAGCGTAAACTGATAAACAGCTAATCATTGTTTCGCTAGAACAAGCTATGAAATTCTTGACCAAATTTCTTAGCATGTCTTCAACAATGGTAACTCAATTATGACCCAAAAGAGTCGTTTTCACAACTTCCTTTACCCAAACCGACCTTACTATCAAAATCACGTGTCCATTTTCTTTACAGGCGACCGTTGCCCTGACACTTTCTGTCCAAAGGGTTGGAAGTGTACTTCCTTACATTGGCCCATTAATTTTTCGTGTAGTTGTACATCAGGAAACTGCAATGTTGCAACAGGTAAAATATCTTCCATTATTAACCTCGAAGGGCTTTTATTAGAAGAGTTCTTTAGACACACTAATTTCTCTGAGCAGTATTTGTGTCGTGGCATTTCTATTGCATTTATTATTTTCGCATGCTTCTTTCCTATTACCTTCCTACGAGTCTATCACCGAGGAGTCAAAGAAAGACATGTCTAATTCAAGGGTAAATAGAAACAAATGCTTGTTGCACAAAAATCATAATGTGAGTACATCGTGGCTGATCGTGGGGTTTCCAACCACTCTGTGTGATAATATGATTACACTCATTCTTACAACTGCTCCAACATGTAAATCCACAGAACTAGCAATCCTCTTTTCTTTTTACCGGTGATCCGTGCAATCATAACTTTTGTGTTAACAATGGCACTAATCATCGTATAGAATCCTGGCCGTACAGTCAATGTACTTGTACTTCTGGATGCGCTGGTATTAATTGTGGAACCCGCATAGGTACGAAATAGCATAAAACCTCATTTTAAAACGGTATGCCCAACACGATGTGTCCTGAGGAACATCCCTTCCCCACCATTACCTTCCACAACTTTAGTGAAATACCACTGAGCTAGCAGGGGTTCCTAACAAGCTATGTACTCTTAGCATTTCTGGACTGACCAGAATTCTGCTCAATGTGAAACAATACATTCAGTCCTTTACTCAAGGAAGAACAAAGAGAGATTGCAAACGTCTTAGTTCATCAAGCTTACAGGGTGATGGACAGTCGGAAAAGAAACATTTCCTGAGCGTAAACCAATAAAGAGCTAATCATTGTTTTGCTAAAACAAGCTATGAAATTATAGATTAAATTTCTTAGCGTATCTTCAACAATGGTAACTCAATTATGACCGAGAAGAGTCGTTTTTACAACTTCCTTTACCCAAACCATCATAATATACGACCTTACTATCAAAATCACGTGTCTATTTTCTTTACAGACGACCATTCCCCTGACACTTTCTGTACAAAGGGTTGGAAGTGTACGTTCTTAGATTGGTCCCATGTTTTTTCGTGTAGTTGTACATCAGGAAACTTCAATGTTGTAACAGGTAAACTATCTTCCATTATTAACCTCAGAGGGTTCTTACTGGAAGAGTTCTCTAGACACATTAATTTCTCTGAGCAATATTTGTGTCGTGGCATTTCTATTGCATTTATTTTTTCGCATCCTTCATTCCTATTACCTTCCTACAAGTCTATCACTGAAGAGCCAAATGAAGACATGTCTAATTCCATAATATATAGAAACAAACGCTTGTTGCACAAAAATCATAATGTGAGTACATCGTGGCTGATCGTGTAGTTTCCCGCCCCTCTGTGTCTCAGACTGAGAGGTATTCATTGAAACAGAGCTATGTTTGAGTGACTAACAGGAGAAAAAATATACCGAATTCGTACTTCCATTGGAAGATGATTCAAATTTAAAATAAAACTATTACTTTGAATACAGACGAGGTAATCTGAATATCGGAGACTTTTATATTTAAAGCAATTTATATATACGAATTTAAGTTTTCAGCGAAGAAACTATTATCAGGTGATCAAATCGTATTCTTGGTAAAGCTGTTTTTCCGTGCAATAGACTTTGGGTTATCACAGCTAAGGTTATCACGTAAAAAAGGGTAAACATCTTACGAGGAAGGACTGTGCATGTATAGGATCTCGCGTGTGGGGGACGGTGTTGTCCAAGTCCACATTGGCAAATTGCCTTTGCATCCTACTGACTTAAAACGTGACGCAGTTTTTTCTATGAAACAAACAAAATCCGGTGGCGCAATTAACTTTGATTATAATTCCACTAGGCTCTCTTCTAGTTGTATACGATACCCAAAAGAACACTCTTGACTATGGGACAGTTTAGACCTCAATTATCCTGGTAAGAGATTCAGTTAAAATCTCTTGATCGAAGTAGTGGCAACCGTGTCTGATTTTTACTTAAGGAGGCTCTATAGGGCTTTTGCTCAATGTTGGAGCGCGCGCCAGCCTTTCGTTTTTCTAGAAATTTTTTTTTAGGTTTTTCAAGCTCACTAAGAGCTATCAAAAGGCAATAAGCAAGATTCGGACTATCATTTGCTGTATTAAATATTAATGAAATGATTTTCGTGACTAAGCTAAGGCTCCACGAAGGGTAACGCTCGCTAGTGACAATTTGGCTTTGCCTTTGATTTTCTTCAATTTGATTTGGTGAGACCTCAAATTTTTCACTATTTGTGAAATGTCCTACGGATTATTCAAACGCCGAAAAATAAGGGTTAGAAAGGCAGTGTATTCGCTATTTGTAGTTTTGTGGTTTCTTCCTGTGTCCCAAATTTGGTCCTTTAATTTTTTTTCAATTAACAGGCACTAGAAAGGGCACAAATATGTTTAACGGTCCAGAAAAATTTAGGAAATTTCACAGAACGAAACGCGATTACATTATTCGAAAGATCCCTATTTTCTTTATCGCAAAACACTGCGTAATGGAATAAAACTTCACCAAGATCTATATCTAAGCATGCGTAAACTTTTCAATCTGTCGCTATCTGTCACCTTTTAGCAATCTTTCCCACCGTGTTTTCTTTACGGTTGGCCTCTTTTTCAGGTGTAGAGGGCCTAACAATATTACGTTTACATTGGTTGTAAGCCCTAGATTCCACCACATAAAAACTTTTGGTATCGTGTTTAACTAAGTTGTTCATAACACCAGGGCGATTACATCGAGCTGTCATGTTTGTTTGCATGTTGACATTTTTAAAGCTTGCCCTATGTTCGCCCCCAGATCTTGCGCGGTCAAAAAAACAATACAGAGCTTCCTTAAGTTGGAATTTATCTAAAAGCCTCATAAAAAATAAATAATCTGGTAAGATACTTTGTATCTTTACATCATAGCATTCAAAAGTTATGCTTTTTTTTTCAACAGTTGATGCGTGTTTCGCCAACCCTTGCCTGAATAATGGAACCTGTACACTGAATAATAACTCACTGGGTTTTGAATGTAGCTGCCCTTTAGGGTACATTGGATTTAATTGTGGCTTTCAAGCAGGTGACAAAGGTTTCTTAATTGATTAAATTATGTCCGCTGTTCTAGTTTGTATGATTCTATTCAGAGCAAGAGCTCAATCGATCAGTCAGTTGGTTACGTTTTATGGAATTTATTTTATTAAACTATTGGTCAGTCAGATTGTTTTTCTGTAAGTCAGTTACTTACTCACCCACTTACCCGCTCGTTCCATCACTATCTCATTCGCCCCTCCAGTCTTTCGGTCGGTCGGTCGGTCGGTCGGTTCCTTTTCGAAAAAATCATACATAACGTTGCAAATTGCTTTTCTTACACCATGTTTAAATCAAAAATAGAGGGCATTACAACTTGATAATTTGCGATTTACCCCTTGAAATATAGAGTTGTCGAAGTATATGGTCCGCAATTAAGTAGTGACATATTTCAACAGGCAATCCGTGTTCAAATAACTCTGAACGTTGCAAAAACGGCGGAAACTGTACGCAGGAGAGTAATATCCTGGGATACACATGCAAATGCACATCGGAGTATATTGGGTTTAACTGTGGCTTTATGAAAGGTGATGCATATTCTAAAAACATATTATATCTTAAAGGATACCTCAACTAATGGAACACCTCGTTGTTGAATTATCCTAAAATATATTTTTAGTAAACGAAGAACTTAGTGCGAGAAAAATCGAAACAGATATGAACTGCTTTCAAATTGGAATTCTGTGTGTTTTGCAATGTTGAATCGTATGACGAGTCACGATTGCCACACTCATCCTGATGATCTCACTTGGACTTGATAATAGATTTGTGAATAGTAATGAAACCGTATGACGTAATATGAGCTAGACTTTAGCCATCCGTCAAAATTCCATGACGTGGATCTCGATATTTTTCTTTAAGAAAGGAAAGCTGTCTCAAAATTTCATTTGCCAGTGAGGTTCTCCTTATTTTGAATCCAACCTGTGTTAAGGCAAGAACTTCAAAACCGCTCCACGCGAAATTTAACCAGTTGGTCCTGCCATTTCTTCTTCACTAACGCTGTGTTTTTACGTCTTCACAGACGATCCCTGTTTTCCTAACCCTTGTCGAAACGGTGGAAATTGCTTTAGGGAAGATGGTCTGAAGGATTTCATTTGCAATTGCACCTTTGGATTTATTGGTAAAAGATGTGAGAGCGAGATTGGTAAGTTTGTCTAAGATGTACTTGTACCACTGCGGTGTTAATTATCATTTGGCACCCCGATTGGCCTTGAAAGTCAAGATTAACAAAATCGGACGACCACGAAATAGGAGTCCGCTTTTGTTATTCACGAGTATGATTACAGAAAAAGGTTCTAGGACACGAATTCCGTTTATTAAACGATCAAAACCATTAAAAAAAACTTTTGGTTCGTACAAATAATAATTGATCCAGTACTGACCTGGTTTATAAAAAATTTACAAATTGTCGTAGATGTTTCGGCTTTTTGATTTGGTACTTTACACAAGCCTTGAAATCTAATTGATTGTTGAGATTTAGTAAAGTTTTCTTTAGGTGAAAAAGATGTGATTTAAAACAAAGTCGATTTGACGAGAACCCATCAGGTTGCAAGGATCACCTGTATTTTAAAATGGCCCTAATATAGGCTTTAACTGTGTCAATAAAATGCTCGAACATCGATGGAAATAAAAACACGTTGTTCGTGGCTTAATTCACTGTCTCGGGTTCAAACAATTTAATTTTCACCGCTACGATTAAAAAAGACGTGATCGGACAGGCCGAGCGGAACCAATTGTAATATACATGTAGCACCTTTCATGGGTGATCAATGTAAACCCTAACATCAGTATGCAAATCCTCCACAATGTTCTCTACGCATTTCTTACAGTAATAAACATGTGTGACCCAGTGGTAAGACTCTAGTTAGAAATTACAAGCTAGTCACTCTTGGTGGTTAAGAGGTTAAGGGCTTTTAAGTCATTTAGTCAACTACACTTCCACAATTGGTGAAAATCTTATGAATTAGAAGATGCGAGGATGGAAGGAGAGATATCGTCAATTTGCCTTTAACATCATACTTTTTACTTATGTAGTTCATGGGAATTGGAGTCACTGGACACCATGGCCGAACTGTAACAAGCCGTGTAATAACGGAACACGAACAAGGAGGCGTGCATGTGATAACCCTAGGCCAGCTTTTGGTGGAAAAAGATGCGAAGGGTTAACCTTTGAGTCTGAGCGCTGTAACCAAGAAAAGTGTCCAGGTAGAAGATTTCTCAATCTTTTCTTTTTCTTAGCATGTTAAGTGTTGCTCCCAGAAGCTCAAAGGTCAAACGAGTTGACGAGAAAGTGAATGAAGGTCACTTGTCATCCTAGATTAGAATCCTTTTTCAGCCAAAGTTTCCCTCGAGAGGGCAATTTTGTATCTGTTTTAGTGGCATGTAAGGTTCAGCTGTATTGGTTTCGGTGGTGAGTGTTTCTGTCAACTAATCTAGTTTGAACAGGCAGCCCCACAGCATCAAATATTCATTAAATGTGGAGAACAAAAAAAAAACATCTTCTGCTCACTTCTCTTCTCTTTTCAGCCGAAAATGTAAAATACCAGGTTAAGTTAAGAGGTGAAACATGGGAATATTCTCTTGCGGAGGTAGAAAGTACAAAATACCCGGAACTTGCGGATAGAATCAAAAAAGCTGTAAATATATCATTTTTATTATTTCTCTTCGAAATGTTTTGATTTCTCAAATAAGTTGAATTTAACTTTGTTAGCTTTTGATTATATATGGCCCGCCAAAACTGTCTATACTATTTTCTCCTTTAGGTTAAGGACTTTTACCACAGGAGGGATGAAAATGTTAAAGTTGACAAGCTAAAGTTCAAGTAAATCCTCTCTTTTAGATTGATAGTCTATTGTCTCCTCTCACAGCAGAGCAATTCATCGCACGATTAATTTACATACACATTGTTTAGGATCGTCAGAATCCATATTTAAAAAAGGTTTGACTTTGCATATCTTTAATCGAATCCATCATTTGTTATAGGAAAGGAAGTGTAATTTGTAGTTTTAACGTCACCTACGAGAGCATAGACTCGCTACAGATCGTCTCTTTCCTGGAGGAAATAGCAGGAGGATTACTGGGAGATATTCCAGTTGCGTTAGACAAGATCGAAACCAGTAACGGTATGCATAACAAAGTTTGTCAGCCAGAGTGATTAACAATTATTTGTGTCTGTGATAATGAACGACGCGTGCTTAGATTTAGCGCGCATTTATTAGGGCTTAAGCTACCTGTTCAGTGATGACGTCTGCGATTTGTTACTGAACCATGACAAAATGGAATTTACGTGTATAATATAATAAGGAAGCTAAAAATTGTTAATGGGGAAGTCATGTATGCGTCTGTCCTCTAATAAATCACGAGAACCAATCGAAATATATGTTTATTTCACCTGATCATATAATTCTTGTTTTTATTTTCTCTCCCAGTACCCCAACAAGCTCCTGTGGATTTGAAAGCCAAAAGCTCCAAATCGACGAGTATTGTCATAAAGTGGAGGCAAAATCATTCCTTCTCAACTCTGGGTAATATGATTGTCTACAAAGAAGCTAACAAAAAGTTCAAGACTAACACCACGAAGTCAGTTCCACTCAATGCATCTGAAGCGATGCTGGAGGATTTGAAAAAATTCACAAATTATACCATCCGTGTGTTTGCCTTTTCAAGTAATGGTAATGGGGTGCCAAGTGATGCTGTCACTGTAAGAACTCAAGAAGATGGTAAGTTCAGAAAGATAAGACTATGAAGCACTTTAACATTTCTTTAAGATATTTTTTTAATGAATGGATTTGATATCTTATAGAGACTAAGAGATCTGCGAATGCGGCTATAGTTTGTTGAGGGTAGCTATTCCTTTTGTTTTTGTTCTCTTGGGTTGGTACACTATGATAGACCAACCATTGAAGGGTGTTGCGGACAAGAAAACTCCAGCACACCATGACTTGGGTTGATATTGTAAAATGGCCACTGCAAAGAGTTTGAAAATTGACGTTTCGAGCGTTAGCCGTTCCTCAAATTGCTCGGACGAAGGGCTAACGATCGAAATGTTTGCTTTAATACTCTTAATGGTAGCCAGTTTGTTCTGGCTTCTTTACGTTATCATGTATCTATTGTGTCCTAGTGCCAAGTGAGCCACCCCCTGACATTGTTGTCAAATCAACAAGTTCAAGTACAATTCATGTGTCCTGGGGGCCGATCAGCCAAGCTTTCGTACACGGGATACTTATGGGGTACGAAGTCAGTTACGCAAAGGATGACGAGTCATTAGCATGGGACAACAAGACACTTGATGCCAACGCACATGAAACAGTTTTAAGTGACCTGGAATATTTCACTCCGTACAAAGTTGTGATCTGCGCGAGAACATCTCAAGGATGTGGAAAAAATGTCTCTCGCAATGCAACCACATTTGGTGATGGTGAGTTGAAGATTTTATGATAGAAAATGATCTAGCTACGAATCTATTCTCAATCTCTTGAGACTTTCAATCTCTCTTTAAAACGTTCGGTAGCCGGCGGAAACCTTTCGACCAAATTGGGATTTATTTAGGTTACTTAAAGAAAAGAAGGTCACGGGGCCCAGTAAAAACTGTATTTATCTTATGGCCGACATACAGTCGGTGTGCGATGATCATTTACATTACTAAGAAAATCACTCATCTATGTATGTATCTTTCCATGCACTCTCGTGAGAGAAAACTCCCCAAGGGGCTTTTCACTCATTTAATCGCTTGCTAATCATCGTTTTTCTCTGGGTAGAAATTTTCAATTATTGTACTAACATGTTTTGCTTTTGCCTTTACTCTAGTACCCAGTAAGCCTCCACAAAACGTGACAGCTGAGAGATTAAAGGCTGCAGAATCCATCAACGTCACCTGGAATGAAGTGCCGTTTGGTCACGTGAATGGTCTGTTGATGGGATATTCCATAAAGTACCGAAGAGTGAAAACAGCCGAGAAAAATGTAGTTCACTTGGAGGAGACGGCCATAGCAAAATCAACTGATCTCTGGATAGTACTCAATGTTCAAACCTACTCGGTTTATAAAATCGAAGTGGCGGCTTTTACTCAAAAGGGCCTGGGGCCTTATAGTGAATATATCTATGGTGGTAGGTATAGGTATAAATAATTCGGAATAGCTTAACGCTGTAATCACTGAGTTCAATGACAATGTACAAAATGTCCACCATAAAGAGTTTCAAAGCTGGGCGAATGCTTGAATAGCTATCCTCTCTGAATTACAGATGTTTGGACTTATCCCCTCCTTAACATGTCATGTCAATATTGAGAAATTAATCATTTTTAAACACAGGGTGGGGTGGGGGGGGGGAGAGTTCGGAGGATCACATGATTTTCTGGGGGAATAGTTAGAGTGGACTACTGAACATTGACTGCTAATGAATGCTACTGAGCCTTATGGGGGATCAGGTCAATGTAATTATGATAGAAGTAAAGTCTTACGGACCCCACTTCCCTGGCGATGAATAATTATCGGTCCCTAACAATTTGGTGAATATCTCTCATCCATATTTTTCGTTTACTTTAAAGAAACCTGTCGCTGTCCAAAGACTCTTTACACGAACTATTGGTCAACTCCGCCGTATCTAAAAGTGAATCTAAAAGGAAACACTCTGGATGGCATTTTTAGTCACATTGTCACAGATATGATTTATACAGCTTGTGGAGAGTGTCCTGCATACGGTTTCACCGAAATCAACTTGGCTTCAAACGGAAATGGACAGCGATCCGGCAAGGAAAGCCTTGTAGACGTTCTTGGTGACATCGATGAAGTTCCACAAATAAGTTTTCCAATCTACGGCAACAGATACGTAACAAGATTTGGGGGCATTCACCCTTATGTCAACCTTGTGGAGTCCCCTGGGTTGGCTTTTGTCGCCGCCAAGAGGACTCCAGGAGCAGCTGCAAGAAACATTGTAAGCGCTGTGTTTTCTTGCTTTCCACTGGTACTACTATCTGCATGTATGGCCTTTCTTTCCGGGTTCATTATATGGCTTTTGGTGAGTATATAATATTTCGCTGTTATTCATTTAAAAAACGAAAGCTTTTTAGGAGTAGAGTTTTGGACTCAACTTCACACACTTCAAAAAATAATGCAATAATGGTAATAATGATGTAAATATTCTCATGACCTTTTTCTGGAAAAAGTATGGATATTACAGGGAGAAATTGCATGTCAATCACCTTTAGGAGTTCAAGGGTTAACTGAGTCTATGAACCGCCCACAAGGAAATATATCGCTTTCGTGGATTGCACCTCAACAGTGCCGTGTACCTTATAACCTAAGTAGACTTCAAACTTTTGTTTGTTTTGTTTTGTATTCTTAATTGAAGTTAAAACATTGGGAATGTTTCTCTCGTCATCGTTCCCTATCTCATTATTCAGGATATGAAGAACAACTCAGATCAGTTTCCAGCCTGTTTTAGCAAAGGTATCGGCGAAGGACTCTGGTGGTCGTTCGTCTCCATGACTACCGTTGGGTAAGCAAACCCTTAACATTTGTTATTTGTGCCGAATCTATTATCGGTGTTTACTTCTTAGCAGCCCTTTTTCGTTATCGTGAACCCAAGCCCCTCCTCTCCTCTCTGTATGTTCACTTGACTGTCTGTCTGTTTTTGTTTTCAGCTATGGAGACCGTTTCCCCTGTTCTGTTCCTGCCCGTATTTTTGGTATCGCATGGACCCTCACTGGAATCGTTATTATCTCAATTCTTATTAGTGCGATTGCGTCGGCGCTGACGATTGTCAACGTTCCATACCCAATAAAATTGTATGGTGCAAAGGTGCGTTTCGATTGTAAATACATAATCAGTTTTCTTATACACGCGGCACAGCAGGCTACATGGCATTACTTCATCTTACTTTACTAACTAATTGAAATCTCACGTTGCTTGTCTCTAGTTTTATCTAAAAAACAAAGGAGTGGATTCCATTTCCTTCAGGGACTGTAAATTACGTATGCCGTATATCAGAATCTAATGGAAACTGGAAACTGGTACATGAACTGCATGAGAAGATGTAGCGATCGCATTACTGATGGTCTAGCCACGGAAATAGTTACAGACATAGTTATAGCATTGTTACGGAAATAATAACTCTTCATTGTTACTGGAAATGACTGTTTTACAGACTTAGCGTAATCGAGCATGCCCTTTTAAAACGTTCAGTAAATATCAGTTCTGATAGTATTTCTTTGAATTTAACTTAGATCGGAGCAATTCAAAACTCCACGGAAAATCGAATTGGCACCCTAAAGAATGCAAGAGTAAATGAAGGTAAAAACATGAATCCCTAATCCTTACTGGTCATTAAGATATTTTGTGAGTATATCTGGTGGGTTGAAAAAATGGAGGGGTTCCGAAGCCTGCTTGCGAGAACGCGAGTTGCGCGCGCCCTTAAAAGCTAACATGCACGAGAGAGATACCGAAATAAACAGAAGTAACCAAGTCACGATTCGCTATAGCTTTGCATGTGATTTGCCGCGAGTGTGCTATATTAAATGACCAATCACGAAACAGAGTAGAACAAAATTTAGCAATCCGTAATCCCTTTCGATCCTTATTTAGGAGTTGAAATAACCTGTTAATAGTCCTTCAAATTAGAATTTTAAAATGGACAAGGCAAAAAAAGTTTTCTTATTGTTTTTATCCACAGAAAAGAACTATAAAAATCTTGAAGAAATTCGTGCAGCGCTCGAAAATGGAGAAATTGAGGGTGCCCTTATAGACACGTACGTTGCTGCAGATCACAAGAGCGAACTTTTCAGTGACAGAATCTATGTGAAGCAGATTTTGGACCAGCCACTTGGCTATGGAGTTGTTCTTTCAGGAGCAGCAGTGAATGTGGAGCAGAGATGTCGGGACTTCATAAACCTGCACATGAGTAATATATTCCACATGATAACCATCTCGACAAAGACACTTGATGTAAGTGAAATTCATAGTTGTTATTTTAATATTTTATATTAAAGTTCAATAACGCGCGCTTTCACTAGCTGAAAGAGAATACTGTATGAGAGCATCGAGCATTGAGCTGAGCTAAAGTTGTCGCGCCATCTGCTAAGCTGTACTATGTCGAACCCTTTCCTGGACTTCTCTCAAACCTTTTTTTCGTTAACTGAAAGTGAAATTTCGGAATAAGTGAGCCAACAAGTAGCGACAGAAGACCCAACAAAGGTTTGCAAACATGCTAGGTGCCGTAATTTGCGCTATTACAACGTGAGCAGAGACGAAAATCCTCAATGAGAAAGTGAAATGGACAGTCCGAGTTTTGAAGGTTTTCACCCTCCCTACACTTTCTTCGTGCTGTAGCCGCTTCCTGCGTGCTTTTACAACTGCACAGAGCACAATCAAGGCTTCCCTATTTGTTACGTATAAGCTTAGTTAATGCAACCAATAGTGACTCTTTAAAATGGAGTTGTATTTCCTAGGTGGACTCATTATCAGTGATAAAACCAGGGAGAAGTACGTGGTCCGGACCACAACCCTACCCCCATCAGACCAATGAATGTTTGCAAACTTCTTCCATCACCAGGGTCTTATATTAATGCTCAACCTAAGATCATAATTTCCCGTCAGATTGGGAAGTGGGCATAGTATTATTTGGATGTGTCACAATAACATTTGCCTGATCCTACCCAAAGGCTCTGTAGTATTCTAGTTATCCCCTACATTGCCGGTCAATTTTCCATAACCCCACTACCCTCCCCTATAGGTTATAAAATCGCTTCTCCTCCCTCTCCCCTTTCTGTTCTGTTAGCAACGACTGATCCTCTCCCTTCCCCCCTGAAAACCGTGCGATCCCCCCAAAACCTCAAGCTCCTTGCAGGTGATCAATAATGGCTGGTCACATATTATACCTGGCCCGTATAATTTTTTTCTTTGACTGTATTCTTTAATTGATTAAAAATACTTTCGTGGTTGTTGTTGTTGCTGTTGTTGTTGTTGTTACTGTCGAGTTTTCCTTTCTGTGCTTATTTCTTGTGGTCTCTCGCAGCCTGCTCCTACAGATGAAAATGTGGAATCAAGTACAGACTTGTTCGACGGTTCCTCCGTTATGTTCCGCATAGCCTTAGCTTCCTTGTGTGGAATGCTTGGATTAGCAATCATTGCTGGGATAACTTACCACTATCTGATTTTCGTTCCACGCCAAAAGAGAGGTAAGACGTCTTATCTCTTATCTTGAGGGAATATTTTTCAGGAATAAGTACAGGTAAAATCGAAAATTCTATGTATTTCTAAGCATTCTTGTACCCAGATATTTCATGGCCAATCAGCTGTTACACCTGAACATGAATGAAAGTGATCTTCGCAGTGATGTGGACTACTTAGGCAGTAGTGAAAATAAGGCCTGAAAAAAATTCAGGCTTGTACGGGATTTGAACCCATGACCTCTGCGATACCGGTGCAGCGCTCTACCAACTGAGCTAACAAGCCAACTGGGAGCTGGTCATGATGGTGGTTCTAAATAAACCCGTGAAGTGATGAATAGACGGTTAAGAATATATGAAGATCATATATTTGAACTGCGGATAAAGACATGAATGAAAGCTGTTACACCGTAGGATCTTGGTACGAGATTAATTACAGGCAATCACAGCGCTTTGAAGTTTGGCTACTAAGGAATTGGAATTCTTACCTATTAACCCAACAACTCCTAGAAGTGATTAACATGCATCTTGTACCTATAAGGAAAGAGAGAAGCAATTCAGGATAATAACACAATTGAATTACGTGACAGAGTCACTGGTCACGGTGTATTTTAGAATGCGCCTTTATCGCCGGTTACACCGAATAGAATCCTGGGGTTCGGTTCTGAATTGTTCATAGAGGTTTGAATAGCGTAAGCTGTCAGAACTCAAATATGAAATAACATAAGCCAAATTTTTAAAATGAGTTTGCATTATAATATTGACCTAGAGCTAATCAAATTATGATATTCGATACGTTTTGTTGACGTCTTTCGTCACGAGATAGTAAAATTTGCCAAATTTTGGCCTTTTAAAATGTTTAAAGTATTAATCCGTGTGGTCTAAAGCTCTCTCCTACTATATTTCCAACTTAAATGGTTAAAATCAAAGATTTATCGAGCTACTTATATAAAACGGTCGGAGGTTGCTCAATGAACTCATTTGCATAATCGGCTGTCACGCTAGCGAAATCGGTAAAACTTTAAAGTCACCACGGCGAGGAAAATTGATAAGTGCAGGATGTTTTTATATTTTTCTGCAGCCAAACGTCTTGTTAGAAGAAATAAAGCGGAGTTTTCAATGGTCTGGTCTGGAATTGAGCAATATCAACCAAGAAAGAAACAGTCGTTTTGACCAATTTGAGAAAGCTGTCTAACGAGTGTTTTTAAATAAATTATGACGAACCTCTGAGTAAACGAATATCAAAATTGAAATACTTTTTATACACCTTACATATCACATAGTCTTAGAATACAAAAGATTTTTTGCTGCATGCGATGTGATACGAGGACCGGGCTTTTCAACTTTTGAAGTTTTCGATGTCGTAAGAGGTCAAAAAAAAAGGGTCGTAGTTTTGGAAGTTTTTATTATTTAGAGCTCTAAAAATTTTATTGTAATGTATTTCCAGAAACTAATGTGGTTTTTTTATTTACTTGCTACCAAAGATAGTCTATTGGGCAAAGTTTGAGAGAAAACTTTTTTCCGATGCGAAATGCCCTGGACCGCACTTAAAGAGATCGCTACTTAACAATCAGATCTTGGGAGTTTAGTGGTCAAATAATTAAATGTTACAATTGCATTTCTTTATTTTACTGACTATGGCTCCTTTGCAGCAATAGTGTTGACAGGAAGACATTACATTCGCCCCCACTTTTGGCGAGTTTTTGGGGATGGGGTGGGGCAGGCTTTAATAGTTACGAGCAGCGCGTTTTTTTTTATTCTTTATCGTAAATTATTGTAAGCTCCAACCAGTAATTTTGGACTCATTGATAATTAATTATTATATCATTAATCGTCAGTAAATATCCTCAACCTATCTTTTCTTTCTTTTCCAGTTGACAGGCTAAAAGCATCTTCATCCCAACTTGCTCGGAAAAAAGCCCTAGTTGCAGAAATGAGAGATTTTGTACGCATTTTTCACTCACAGATGTCCACTCGAATATCTTCAGAGATGGATAAGTGTAAACAAGTATTAAGAGACATAAGAGAGGAAAGAAACATTTCTAAGCAAGGCGGTGCACTTTTATTAAACAATGTTAAAACTAATCCAATCTACTCAGATTCGTCTGAGGGATGTGATTCTGTTGTGGCACAGCGACCTTTGGTATTCAAATCAGCGAAGAGTATTGAAGAGCTTAACAAACATAACACTTTTGTAAACATTGCTGCCCTAAATTCTTCCGGAGAAAACTTAAGCCTTGAGAGTGACTCTGATAACTGTACGAAATGAAGTAACTTTGTGTTAGGTTACACGAAGAACTCAATAATATAATGACGACAAAGCTCAGATCAGTTGATGGATGAGATGGTGCTCATGTTGCTATGGTAATTTTACAGGGTTTAGGAGATGTTTATAGCGGTGGTCTTTGACAGTTAGGAATTCTGTTATTTCGATCTTTCACCGTGACGCGACAAGCATTAGTAGTATAGATTTATTGAAGCTGTTTAAGTAACTTCAAGAGCATTTGCTTTGAAATAAACGAGACTTATTTCTATTTGTAATCACAATAACTGGGCATTGTATTTGTTAGTGATCTTTTGCCGTAAGACTACAACGATTAATAGCAAACATTTTTTGTAGCTCTATGAATAGCTCCTTAAGCATTTGCTTTGAAATAACAAAGACTTATTTCAATTTGTAATCAGAATTTCTATTTGTAATCATTAGGCATTGTATTTATGAGTGATCCTTAGCCGTAAGACGACAACGATTAAAAGTAAAGATTAATTGTAGTTCTATGAATAGCTCCTTAAGCATTTGCTTTGAAATAAACGAGACTTATCTCTATTTGTAATCACAATAACTGGGCATTGTATTTGTTAGTGATCTTTTGCCGTAAGACTACAACGATTAATAGCAAACATTTTTTGTAGCTCTATGAATAGCTCCTTAAGCATTTGCTTTGAAATAACAAAGACTTATTTCAATTTGTAATCAGAATAATTAAGCATTGTATTTATGAGCGATCTTTTGTCGTAAGACGACAACGATTAAAAGATTAATTTTAGCTTTATAAGTGTGGCTCCTTAAGCATTTGCTTTGAAATAAAGAAAAGCTACATATTACTGGCTTCCATATTTCTGTTTTTAATTATGATAATTTGGCATTCTATTTAATGTAATTTTCTGTGCTGCACAAAAAAATCAGGATAATTGAAACTGTTTCTGTGGCTCCTCGAGCATTGTGAAATTTGACAATATGCAAGGCAATAAATGACGAAAAATACGCTTTCTCAGTTTGCAAGCCAATTTCGTACAACGTACAAGACTGATTGCAAATATGTACATTTATTTCACAAAATTATTTGTAATTCCAATAAAAGACACGCCGGCTGATCCCAAAAAATAATTTCAGGTTTATTGAATACAACACTCATAATCACGTCCTCATTAAAGGCAAAATAACATCTTCCCTTTAACTAACACACATTTCCTCTCCATTATGTAGCCTTCACAAATATCGTTTTTTGGTTTGTAATTGAAAAAAAATTAAAATCTTCCTCAGTACCTCACTGAGGAAAGATGGCAGATTTAACTTCAGCGCTATAATGTTTTTTTCTTGTAGTCTTAACATGACGAATATTCATGTTCTATATCGTCTTCAGAAATTACCATGTTAGGTAGCGTCTGAGAACAAAAGGGTTCCTGACATTTTGAAGAATATCCAGAGAGAAATGAAAAGGATTTTAGCAAAACCCTTTGTGAACTGTGCTCCAGTTCGTTATTTTCATTATTTGAGACAAGTTGGACAACGTGCTTTTGCTTCTCATACTGTTTCTCACTGGTCCAACTCCGAGGTGTTTGGGTACTAACAACAATACTGCTCTCTGTGTCTCTTTTGGAACTATCTGCAGATCTACGAATTCGCATTTTATATTTCCCTCGCCTTTTTCGGTTCACAACCTCCTGTAGCTCCTTCCTGATAGAGGAAATCTTTTTTAACATGTCCATGTAGAAAGAATTCACGAAAGCTTTCATTTCATCATTAAGAGCCTTCTGGTAACTGAGTTGTTGGTCAGTGTTTCTTGCCTCGTCCACTAAATGGAAATAATAAAATGCTGTGAGAAAATAAGCGTTACGCGAACCCCAACTTGCCAACTTCTCATGTAAGCCTTACATCAATGCTGCATAAAAAAAAACAACAACAACAACAAAATAAATAAAACAACAACAACAACAACAGCAACAACAAAAAACCGCCTACCTCTTTTCCTTCGGGGAACATATATCAAGAAATGATAAGAGAGCCCGCCCAAGATGGCAACCCCTAGGACGGCAAGGAGAGAAACCAAGCTAATACGGAACATTTCAGATGTGTTGTCAAACAATCCCGTACTTTGTTCCATTACGGCGCTTTCAGCTGGTGCCTGAAAAATGTACATGCAAAAACCTTACCATGCATTCCCGAGATACGTTTAATCCTAAAATTAAATAACAAAAAAAAAAAAAACCAAAAAAAACTGATTTTCACTAAACCTAACTTTGAAACGACTTAAGCTTGGATGAATTTCTTCTCGATTGAGTTCTGCACTCAGAATTTGATATCATGCTTTTTTATTTTTTTTGCATTATCCGTTTCCTTTTTTCGTAAGTAATCAATATATGAGCAGCTAGATCCTATTGTTTTGATTCATTAATAAGCTAACAAAATTGGAACCGTTGTTACTACAAATCACGATCAATATGCATCTTGCAAAATTCAGCTTAGATTCTCAAGTTCGTGAGTAGCAAACCGTTTTAATTTAAACCATTTCCTGCTATCCTTTTTTCTTCTTAATACTCTAGCCTTTCTTTCCTTTTTCTATATTTCCAGGTTAATAATATTTATTTAAGGAGAATGTATTTGTTTTTTTTGTTTTTTCCTCCATTTTTTTGAAAATTTGCACAGCTGTTTTCAACTTCAAGGACATGGTTTACCACTTCATGAAACGGTGAAACCAAATTAACGTAGCTGTTATGGAATTACTTACATCAAGAGTCTTCGTCATATTCTGGATGATGTGAAAAATTTCAGTTATGTGCATATTGATATAATCCCGGCATTGTTGCTCAACACCCACAGCCGCTCCAGAAAGAACCACTCCGTACCCAACTGGCCTCTCTAAGATCTCTTTAACATATATTCTGTCATCGAAAAGAGTTTCTTTATGTTCTGCAGCTACGTAAGTGTCTAACAAAGCGCCATCAATTTCACCATCTTCAAGTGCTGTTCGGATTTCATCAACGTTATGGTATTCTTTTTCTTTATGAATGAAAATAAGGAGTAAGCCAAATTAATCTGAGATGCTTGGTGCTAAGAACCTGGCAGTCCAGAATAGTCAGAAGTCAGAGATCATTTCGGACGACTCCCTCCCCCCGCCTCAGAACTTTGTGTGGTCCAATTATATCTGTAATAATAATCGTGAGTTACAAATCGGACTCCCGCTTTGCGGTCGTACGATTGGCTAATCGCTTGTATGATTACAGACCGAATTGGATTCCACTTGGCCTTATAAGAAATTTATCAGTTGTCCAAAGTTATCATATTAGTTGTTATAAATCGATCTTACCTCCGTTTACTTTTGCATTCTTAAGAATTCCAAGGCGATATTCCACGGAGTTCTGAATGGCTCCGATCTAAATTGGGAAAAAAATGTATCCCTTTAAGTATTTCCCTTTTAGATATAAGCTGGTGAATCAGACCCTTCCTTAGCAACTTGAATGCATTATGTTGCTAAAGTTGTTATCCCTAACCCATCCTGGTGTTTGTAAACCTATCGTTTTGTCTGTGTCTGTGTGTCTGTCTGTCCACCTGATCTTTTGCATTTCTGTCTGTCTCTCAGTTCGTCTCTCTCTACCTGACTGTCTATCTATTTCTCGGTCTGTCTGTCTTTGTACTCTTCTTTCAACCTTCCTGGCAGTGCGAGTGTGCATCTGTCACTAATCTATTTGTATGTATTTCTGTTAAGAGAGGAAGTCATAAAGTATTACTTTGAATCATGCATTATCACCATTTGTTTAGGCATACCTTCGCCCCATAAAGAGTGACAGGTTTATTCACATTGACATATGTCAGTGACGAAGCAATCGCACCAATCAGAATGGAGATAATAACAAGTCCAATTAGGGTCCATATGATACCAAAAACACGGGCAGGGATAGAACGGGGGCAGCGATCTCCATATCTGCAAGGATTACATGTAACTGACACTTATAAAAGCATTGGTATACACTTAGATACTGAAAAATGCACATTAGAATTGTATACCTAAAATAAGCGATATCGTGAAATGATTTACAACATCAAATTACTTTTTTTAAATACCGGATGGGAATATAGGAATGGTAATAACGACCAGATCTGGCCCAATAAGGCTTCGTTTAAGCGGCCAAGATTTGCTAATAGGTATCAATACTTTTTATAAAAAAAAAAAAAAAAAAAAAGATTGGCTATAATCAGCTTACCCAACAGTTGTCATTGAAATAAACGACCACCAAAATCCTTCACCAACACCTTCTATAAAAGCAGGCGGAAATTCGTCTGGGTTGAATCTAGAGTCCTAAAGAAGAGGTATATTAAATGTGAGAGAGAAAGATACAATATTTAATGCGAAGAAGTACTTATAGTTTTGGAAACAGTACATTATTTGAGCTTAGGGGATTAATAAGAAAATCACTAAAGGTTCTCCATTCATATTAAAAGATTCTTGGATGGCATAGACAATTACTTACCAAGACCCAAATGATGAATCCAGAAATATAAGCCATACATGCTGACAATATAATCATAGGAATGCATTCTACAACTGCGTTTATCATGTTCTTAGCCGCGGATCCGGGGAGACTCTTTGCAGCAATAAATGCCACCCCAGGGGAATCTACAAGGTTGATATAAGCATAAGCTCCCAGGTATCTTGTGATGTATTTGTTGCCGTAGATCGGAAAGCTTATCTGTGGAACATCATCGATGTCATCAAGCACTTCCGAGATACTTTTCTTGCCAGAAGAGTCTCCTTTTCCATTGGTTGCAATCTCGATTATTGTAGAACTACTGTGACCAGGGCAAAGACCACAAGCTGCAAAGATCATATCTGCCACAATTTTGCTGAAAATTCCTTCCATCCTATTTTCGCCCTTGTTCACTCTCAGATATGGAGACGTTGACCAGAAATTTGTGTACAGAACTTTTGGGCAACGGCAGGATTCTTGTGAAAAGGACCAAATACACTGTCATATAACTTTTCCTTTGATTTTAAAGCGTATTTAGGATCATTTTAACATGAAAGGGTCAAGTGCTCACTCGGGTGATCACTAAGGGCCTCCTTCAAGTACTCACTCAGGTAGTTACTCATGCACTTACTCCAGTACTCACTCAAGTACTTTCAGATTCTACTCAGGCGCCCACTCATTTACTCACGCGGTTACTTACTCAGGAACCTAATCTGGGGACTCACCTGCGTAAGCATATTCAGTATATGGTCCCATGCCTTTCCGAGTAAAAGCCGCCACTCCAATTCTGTAAATCGAGTACGCTTCGACTTGTAGGGAAACCGAAAGATCTGTTGGCCTCAAAGTCAGTGTGTGCTCGTCTACGCCAAAGACTTGCCTCTCGGATGTTTGAACTCTTTGATACTTTAAGGAGTAGCCTAGTAATATGCCGTTGATGTGATTTGAAGGGACTGGACTCCAGCTGACATTAATGAATGCTTCGGATGTAAGGTTGTAGGCTTTGAAGTCCACAGGAGGCATGCTGGGAACTAGACGGAGAGATAAAAATAATGATAAAAAAAAAGGCATCGAGAACCTTCTACAAATATTTCGGGAAAAAAAGATGAAAAACCCCATACCAGTAACTCAGAACATAATAAAAGCGTAGTTAGGAGTCTCTCTTTGTTTTGTATAGGTTTTTTTTGTTGTTGTTGTTGTTGTTGTTTTTTTATTTCATTAAAGCAATTAATATAATTTAACCCCCCCCCCAAAAAAAAAAAAGCTATTCCTATCAAAATATCGATTTAAACAGGAAGGCAAAGACAAGGTAGGAGAGATTAAGAGTTTATTTTCTTCTTCAAATGTCGCCATTGAAACAAGTGCAACATCCTGACAACGCTTTCACTGTCGCCAAAAACTGAACTCACCATCTTCCCAAGTTTGCACAAGGTCAAAATATTCTTTTCCACAACCTTTGGATGTCCTGGCACAGATCACTACCCAAAACCATGTGTTGGGAGCCAATTCATCTAATAAAATGTGATGTATTTCTGGGCCCAGTCTCTTGCTTATCCACGTCAGTGTTGACCCGTCATCCTTTGCGAGTCTGACCTCGTATCCCAAGAGGATTCCATGCACGTAAGCTGCGTTGATTGGTTTCCATGAAACACGGATTGACCTTGAACTTGTGACTGTGATAACAGTGTTTGGTGGGGGTTCACTCGGAACTGATGACCAAAAAGGCCAAGTTTGAAACGGATGATTGCAATTTCATATGAAAAGAAGTCGAGGATAGATTAGGTTTTCGTTCACTTTGGTTTGCGACTGGTCGACAAATATTTCGCCTGTCCCTGCACCTATCGACTGCAGGACTCGCGACCTGGTCACAGGCAATTTCTGTGTTCATTGTTTTACTTCACCTTTTAATACCTCTTTCGTCGGCCTTTTAAAACTCGGTGGGGCATATTTTCCACCTTCATCGACCTCACATTGAAACTAATTGGTCCCTTTCACTTGCGCATTATATACTTACCATCCTCCTCAGTCCTCAAAGTCAGTGCCTTACTCGGTATTCCGTTTCCATTCCTCGTAAAAGCATACACTCTTATGGTGTAATGTGTGAACTTTTTCAAATCCTCCAACACCGTCTCCTGCGGCAAGGGTAGCACAGATTTTAGGATGTCGGGTTGAAACCTGGTGATGTTTTCCTTGAATATAATAACGTAACCAAGAAGTGGAACTGAATTCAATTGTGTGACCTCCGACCATTTTAAATGAATTGTTGTTGACGTGGGACTGTTTAACTCCAAAATAACTGGAGCTTCATTTGGCACTAAAGACGAAATGGAGACAAATTTTATGTTATTGACAACAGTTATGAAGTACGTTATTGTCATTTGTTGCTTCGTATACAACTGCCTTGTGTTTTCTTTTTAAGTTTGTCCACCACGAAATCAGGCTTCAACAATCTTGACCAGACACAAGATGCCATAATTTCAATGCTAATGGTCCTAGAGACAAAACCATCGGATAATTTAACCACTGATAATCTAAATTTAGAAACAAAACATCGAGAAGACCACCATGATTTTTGTCTCATTAAGCAATATAAGATGTGTAAGTGCTGTCAAATTAAGGACACATAACTGTTGATCATTATCATAACATTGCGCGCGCAAGTCCTCCATATTTTATCAGAGGTTATCATGGTAAAAATCTTTTTTTTTTTTTTGAGAGGGCACGGTAACGAATCTTGCAATCTGATTGGTTCTTTACCCGGACAGTATTTTCCTATCTCTGCCCACGGGCTACGGTAACGCTTTCGTGAGTCGCCAAGCACATCCCAACTTTCGCTGCTATTTTTCATAAATATATCTCGCTTTCCCGGGCTGGGCAGTATTTTTATGCAAACACGTCGGTCACTACCTCAAGCCGATGAATAACTTATGAATCCTCACTTTTCTCTCACTCAAATCACTTTGGTTGATAGAAAAATATTGGTTTCAGAATGAATTTGTATAAACAATAGTGTCATTACGTTGGTTGACAAGCGGCCTAAAACCCGTCTGCAATTAATTTTACTCGCTCACAAAAAGTACCTAGAAAGTTAAAACGTGAGGTATTTGGTTACAGTTAAACTAAACGATGGAACTTTCGTTCATTTAATACCTGAATTTTCTCAAGCAATTTGTTCGCAGTGAAAGAGCGAGCGAAGTTTTAATTTAAGTTTTACGACAAATATACGCTCTCGGTCAGTCTTCCCAAGTCCGTTCAATTTGAACATTTGTACCGTAAATTGCGCAACAGAAACCGAAGGAATTTTTTGAGAAAAGGCCGCATTAAATCCCCTTGTGTCTCGTTGGAGTGTGCCATTCGAATTTAGTTTTTGTGAAGGAAAGACCAGATTTATACTCGCCATTGTAGCAAACAAACGAGCAAACTCTCACAACTTCAAAATAAAACAATTCAATTTACTCATAATTACTTTCCTCGCCGTTTACTTAATGAACAGAGGTAAATCTTCGTACATGAATCAATCGTCGATGAGAGTGAATAATACTTTCCGTTAGATCATTGACTCTTTTTGAAGAAAATATCGTCGTGACAGTCCTTGCCAAACTAGTTCCGTTGTTTTTCAAATGTTCTTACGCTTTTTTTTACTTACGCGCTCTTTAATGGACAGGTGTCAGATTGTGACAGATACTTGTAAAAATAATGTTTCAGAGTTTGTTTGGAAGCCTTTTGAATTATCGTTACGGAAATGAAAATGTTTCGCTGAGGCATCTCTCTTGAATTTGCATCATATCTATTTTAACTACCATTTACTCGCTCAAAAACTGTTCAGTTTATGGAAGATCTTGCCGTATTTACAGCCCTAAATCATTCGGGTTCTTTCGGAAAGAATTTCGTCAAGTTTCAAAAAAATAAATATGTTATTTACCGGTTAAGGGTCGGTCAGTATGGAGAAAAACTGTGACCTCGGTCTTGAAAATGCTACCCTCAGCCTACGGCCTCAGGCAGTATTTTCAAGACCTCGGTCACAATTTTTCACCATACGGACCTCCCAGCCAGCAAATAACATATATTTATGTACCGCAAGGTAGTGTATCCATCACATGACGTGTGCAATTTCACCTCGAATGAAAGTTCCCGTCAAGTTAGAACACGATTACCTAGTGAAACCGACAAAGTTGTAGTAAGCCCTTTTTCGTTCTTTTTTTGTTTTGTTTTTTTGTTTTGTTTATGTTTTGTTTGTTTCTTTTTTTTTTAGCACAGCTTGCGTCTACATGCTACGTTATAGAAGAATTGGTTCATGCTTAAGCTGTACGTATATCCTTCGTGTTATGAATGCACTTGGGAACTTTAAAAAGCACTCAAGAAGCTCTCAGCTGCGTCTCAAAACTTCCCGTGTGCATCCATAACTCGACATACGCGCACTAAGCATGGAAAAATTTGTAAATCTCATATTTTTAATATTTTTTTTAATCCAGTTCAGAGACTATGCTATGGTTGTGGTTTTTAGTCGTGCTCAACAGAATATAAAATCCAAGGAATGTAGATGGCCAAGGAAGTTCATCCATCAACCTCATCTTGTAAGAATCTTCTTATAAGACAATTTTGACATAACCTTAACGAAATGCGAAACCCACACTCGCTTAGCATGCAGTTTGCGGCACTGGTTCAGAAGGAAGTAAATCAGTTATACTCTAAAGATTCCCAGATAGCGCTTAATGCAAAGCAATTACTGTAAACAATGAGATAAACATCATCTATCAGGTTAAAGTTATCTATTCCTTAGGTCCTCTCACCATAACTGCTGGTAATGTTAAGCAATTCTGCTGGAAAATTACCCAGAGTCCCTGCGGTGATTTGTTCTTGCAAAATGACAATTTGAAGCGAGTCGATTGCTGGGTAGGTGATGTTAAAACTTGCAATAATGCTTCCTTGTCTAAAAAAAAAATGGAGAAAACTGCAAGTATCGAAGGCAATGAATACAGTGTAGGAATAACTGGCTTCAGATTTACATCGGCGATTTATACTACCGATCTCCATATAAGTGAATCATCTAGCACTAATATGAATGAGCTTTGGCGCGCTGACCTCAAAAGGATCAAAAAGCAGTTAAGAAACGCATAAGGCGAAAGAGAATTCAAGGTATTAAATAACTGTGTGAGTGCTGGCCTCAAGCAAAGGCAAATGCTAGCGACCAAATCGCGAAAGAATTTATTTCTACATGTGATTGTTTAAGAGGTTGATGTTAGTTTTCCTGGACAAGCATACAACGCAACAGAGTGGACTAAATTGAACTCCCGGATCACTGCTCTCGAAACTGTACCGCGAGTATTATCTGTAATAAAACGAAGGAGATGTTGAGATGCATGAATGTGTCTTTGTTCGAAGAGTGGATAAGACCATCCGTTTAGAGATGAATCCAACAAACCAGCAAACGAACAAAGCTGCTGGTGATAGCCTCGCCTATCATATGAGCATTCTCAAGGGGCAGAATTAGCCTCCACCTCTAGTTTCATTTTCTCAAAACAAAAGATCTTATCCAAATTTTTAATTAGTCCTCAGACAAATAAAACTAAGAAGAAATACCTCAAACTCAAAAGCTTGAATGTTATGGTTTCGCCTTTTTCCAAATAAAACCCCGTGACCTAAATCGAACGAAGTAGAAGTTTAGAGATGATAACCGCTTGTGAAGACTTTCTGAAATATTTGTTATGCTTGAGCTTAAGCTACAGTTAATAAGTAGTATACTCCTTTACTCCACACGGAACTATTTATCACGAAAAAAACTTGGTATGTGACGAAACAAAATTAAACGGCATCGAGTAAGACATTTGTGTTGTATATCAAAGTTTATTTTTTCTTAAGCTGTATATAAGGTGTTTCTTAGTTAAAGTGTACGACTACATCCCCGGCTATTTGTTTGACTATTAAAAGGGAAAAATGGGTTACATTTTTAGAGAAACTGTGGTGCTGCGTGCATCAGCTGGGGAAAGGGGTGAGGGGGGAGACATAATAATTTGGTTTTATCGAATGATTTGGTAATGTAAATTAGTCGAAATAGAGAGTTCCTAAACGTCCCTTGCTCTAAAGGGAGAGCTAACGCTTACAGCGTCAGCTATAGAAAATCATTACAATGACCAATTTCCATATCAATTGCTAAAACCAAATTATGTTATGAAAAGGAAAGTTCGCAATTGGGATCATACCTTTCTTCCAAGCTGCTTATTATTCTTTAAGAGGTGATTCTTGCTTTTACATTGCCATAACTGCTCTTAGTGTTTTATCGTTCAGTGCTTAATTTCCTGCGTTAAACTAGGCTTCACAAAGTGGATCAAACTTTAAGATCAATATGCATGAACTCATTTTAACCTGTAAACAATAGAATAACACTTTATAACAGCTTGTACTATACTAAATAAAGTTCAAGAATTGTAGAACTCACGGTAGATTCAATTTCATCCTTGAATCTCTTGTACAGCTCACTTTCAGGGTTCGCAAGTTCATCACTCCAGGTTTCAGCCTTAAGTCGCACTTCGAAGTTTACCTCGTCAGCTGAAGACGATAAATAAATAAACGATTAATTAATTATTGATTACTGACTATCAACCTTATATTAATCACTAATTAACTTACCTGGACAGCTGTCCATATTACAAAACTGCATCTCAGTTGCTTGACCAATACAGTATCTTCCACCAAAAGCTGGTTTAGGATTGTCACACTGACGTTTTCTTGTTTTGTTTCCACCATTACAGGGCCTGTTACAGTTGGGCCATTGAGTCCAAGCGCTCCAGTTGCCGTGAACTAGATTAATTAAACCATAGAATCACCAAGTATGAGTATGAGTATTTGTGCGAGAGGCGAGAAATTATCTAGAAAATAACCCCTAAATGGGAACAGAAAATGCAATGAAATAGCAGGAAATTAAGGTGCTTTGACTTGAAAATTACGGTGTTACACCACCACAACAACAGCTGTTGACACAAGAGCAGCCCGGGAAAACAGCCTTAGTTTACGAGATCTAAGAAAAAACAAATTGTATTATTTCCTGATACATTCCAGACCATGGAACCTACCTATCGAAGGTACCTTTTACGCAGATACACTGACACATACCTACAGTCAGGGGAGCTGTTAAAGATTTGGAAAATCAATCGACATAACGACACGTTGCAAAGAGAGACATCACAATAGCGTCATTGTACGAACTCAAGAAACTTCACGCGCTGAAAAAAGATCAACCCCGCTTAATTCTAAGTCTAAGGGCTGAAATAACCGTTACGATATTTATGAGAATGTAAGCTCCAGAATAGGAAATCCAAGTGAAATGTCAAATGACGGAATTAAAGGGTTTAAACGGAGACCAGGCGACTATGCCCCTACACCCCGGCTATGCATCTAAGCAAGTCTAGGTATCACTGGAGACGATGTCTTACCTATTTTATTGCCACATGTATTACCAGTGTACTCTGAGGTACAGCTGCAGTTGAATCCTTCTGGGTCAACTGTCCTTGAGCAATTGCCATAATTCTCACAAGGATTTGGTATACAAGGATTGTCTGTCGATAGAAGAACTGAAAGGGTTCAAATTGTACAAGATCAAGAAGAAAAACAATGTAGCTCTCAAATATTGCTGAATTCTCGAGCTCTGGTTAAAAAAAATACATAAATTCGAACTTGGGTAGCTCATCGGATCGAGCGGCTCGTGTACCTTTGACACAAATCACAATCGAACCTGTATGAAGCGGCACCATACATTAAGCGGTCGGTCTTCAAAGTCCTGCAATTTTTACCCCATCATTAGTATAACTTTCACCTCTTGTCAGCGGTGGCGGTCATCCTTTACTGAGAGTTTTAACAGCCTTTTTGTTTTGTTCTTATCTGTATTGAACGGTCACATAAAAGGGAACCACTCAAATAAAACTAAGAGTGATCGCTTAAAGTTATCCATTCTTATCTCCTGAAATCAATGTAACAGTATCGTGACCAAGTTTTTGTACAATAAGAGGTCATAAACGGAATAAATACCTGTATTAAGCGGTCAAACGGTAGTAAGCGGTCACCCCCCTATTTCCCGTGGTTGACAATTTAATGCAGGTTCAATTGTAGACAAAATGCCAAAGAGGACAACTAAGTATTAGTAGATAGGAAACGCGGACTAGAAGAAGAAAAATAACAAACGGACCAGATACAAGACATCAAGTAAATAATTTTATTTTTAGTTTATACCTTGTTGCCCTGCTATAGAAGTTGGTGTTGTTGTTGCTGCTGCAGTTGTGGCTGTTATTGTTATGGCTTTGAGAGTCGTTATAGATACTCCTGCTGATGCTGACCCTTGTAATAGCGGTGTTACAGTTTTTGCTCCTTTTCCTGTAAGTAGTGCTGACGTTTTTGTTGTTATTAGTAATTCTGATTTAATTGCTTTCACTGCTGATTCTGCTGTTTTAAATCTTGCTATTATTGACGGTAAGTTTGACGCCGTTACAAGTTCTTCCTCCTGTGAATTTGTTGACATAGCTCCTAGTTTTTCTGCTGATAAATATTTAGAAGATGCTGCTCGTGTGGATTCTCCTGTTTTTAAAGTTGTTATTGATGAAAACACTGGTGTCGTTGCAATTACTGGGGGTTCTAGAGTTGATTTTTTTGACATTGCCAGTTCTACTGCTGATAAATATTCTGACGATGTTGCTTTTGTTAATTCTATGTTTCCTAGCTTTGCTATGGATGAAAACGATGGTGTCCTTATCATTGCTTGTGGATCTATAGCTGATTTTGTTGACATTGTTGCTAGTTCTGCTAATTCAAACGCTGATGAATATTTTGACCACGCTGCCATTGTTGATTCTCTTGAGCCAAACATTGTTGTTGAAGAAAACGATGGTGTCGTTGCAATTCCTGGTAACTCAAAAGCTGGTTTTGTTGAAGTTTCTGTTATTTCTGTCTGTGCAAGTGTTGATAAATATTCGGAAGACGTTTTTCCTGTTGATTGCCCTGTTTTCAACGTTGTAACTGATGGCGACGATCGTGATGTTGTCATTTCTGGCTGCTTTAAATCTGATTTTGTTGAAGTTGCTGTTATCAGTGTTTGTCCTGTTGTTTCTGTAGTTGAAGATAACTGTAAAGAGTTTGTGACGAGTGACTCTCCTACCGGTAAGCTTCCCGTTTTCGACTGTAAGGATGGCGTGGTAGCAATTGCCAGCGCTTTTAGCGTTATCGTATACATTGCTGATACAACAGCTAGTTCTGTTGACGTCCCTACCTTAGTTGTTGGTAATAGTGATGCTGCAGCATCAAGTTCTGTTGTCAAAGATTTTGAAATCACGAATGTGGGCTGCAGTGGTACAGTTTCTTTTGAAATTCCTGAGCCTGCAGTTTCTGCTATTGCTCCTGCAGCTGTTGTTGTTGTTTTTGTGGAAGGTGTTGATGTTGCTTTTAATGTTATTGCGGCTTGCTCAGTTAACCAAGTTAAAGGTGAGTTTTTTTCTACTTTTGGTGCTGATGATGTCCTTGTGGCCACATCTGCTTTTTTCATTGTTATTGTTGTTGTTGCTATTGATGAAGATTTTAAATGTATGTCTGACGTTGACGATTCTGATAGTGGTGTATTTATTGTTTTCGATAATAACGGCGTGGAGAATGGTGACAAAAATAACGATGATGACGTTTCTGACGCAATTTCTGCTCGTGAGGTTAATGATTCTGACATTGCTGGCCTTTTTACAGTTTTTACTTCTGTTGGGATTGATAACTCAGCTGAATGATATTGCTGAATGACGCTGGTGCGGATGTTTGTTGGCGAAGACGATGAACTTTGTAGAGGTGTTGATACTGAGTCTCTTGTTACTTGTGTTGTTATGTCCGTTGTTTGTTGTGCTGTTGTGGTATCTGATCTTGGCTTGGCTGTGCTAGTATCTGTTCTTAGTTTTGCTGTTGTTATAGCTGCTAGCTTTGCTGTGCTTGTTTTCGCTGTTGGTTGTGCTGTTATTGTATGTGATTTTGGCTTTGCTGTGCAGGTGTCTGTCATAAGATGTACTGTTATTGTTACAGATGTTGGCTTTACTGCGATAGTGTCTGTTTTTAGTTTTGCTGTTGTTTTATCTGTTAGCTTCTCTGTGCTTGTATTCGTTGTTGCTTGTGCTTTTATCGTATCTGATGTTGGCTTTGTTGTGGTAGTGTCTGTTGTCAGTTGTGTTGTTGTTGTATCTGAGGTTGGGTTTGCTGTTTTCGGTGTGGCTGTTGTTTCATGTTGCGTTTGTACAACAGTTATTCCTGGCACCTGATTAGGATCTATAATTCAAAATAAATTTTTTGTGATTCTAAAATACTAATGGAGCTGAAGGAAGAGCAGCGTAACGGAGTAACAGAATAGGAGCTTAAGACCTCTGACTCCAGGCCTTAAGGCAAGTTAACTAACCCTTATAGTTGAATTAAGTTTCCGCTAAAAGACGAATTTTCATAAGTTTCAATAGGCATAATGGCTGGCTGACTAGTGGCCAGCTCACAGTCTGACAACAAACGCCCCGACGGACGGACTAACTGTCAAAAAAAAAGCTGCTTACTTAACACTTACTTAATACAAAAAAGCATTACCTAGACAGCGACGATTTTCACCGTTGTTTTGCAGAGTACATATGAGGCCCGAAGGACAATTGAAATCGTAACAAGAAACATTCTCTGTAAAGAAATGAAAAAATAAAAAAAAGGTGTAATTTTCATTGCGTTCTGAGAAATGAATTAAGTTCTTTCTCCGTAGTAAATCCCAGTAAAGAAGGAAAAACCTAACCAACTCATATGCATGCAGTTTATGAGTGGTAATAAGACATCTATAAAGGTGTTTATAATTCAAGAAAGCCTCGATTTTTTCAGATATCCCCTCCTCCCAATCGCCCCTCACCTCCCCCAACACCACCTCCCTAAAGAATAAGAAAAAACTCAAACCTCTACAAGTCACCACAAAACTCATGTGAAAAAGCTGAACACTGAAATGGGCCCTTTTCACCTCTCCAACAGATTACTTTGATGTGCTCTGTATACTTACCGACACCATTTGTGCAGTAGCCCCAGGGAGGGGAACATTCTCCATTATTATAGAGCTTGTACATGTAAAACGCGCCACAGTTTATTACTTGAATAGATTGTTCTTGTTCACATGCTTTGTTTCCTTTGGCTATACACAACTTCCTGGTAACTTCACCTTCACCAAAAAGCGGATGTTGACCTTTCAAGTACAGACGATCAGTGGTACCGCAACTTCCCTCAGCAGGGGCGTTATTTGTGGCAAGGGCGTTGCCTGCGTTTCCTGACACCACGTACCAATAATGCCATTCATGCTCAAGGTCATAGCCATCACACCTGTCACTTGCATCTTTATATTTCTCTGATCGATCTCCTCGGTTCAGATCCCTGTAGTTATGAAGTTTACAAGGATCTACGGACAGAGATAACATCAAACAAAGTTGATCCCCATTCCAATTTGCTGGACTGGTTACTTAAACAAAGTTTTAGTCTTTGTATAGAAAAAAACATGTTCTAAACCATCTTCAACTAAAAAGAATAAGAGAGATGGTAAGTTTTAAGCTCGGTAAAGGAATAGAGAAAGATGTTTTTCGTCTTGTCACTAGGCTAAACTTTTTATCTGAAATGATGATGTTTTCCGTTTGACGTTTTTCGTCTGATGATGTTTTTTGTCTTGTCACGAGCTAAAGCTTTTATCTGATATTTATTTTTGTGAACAGTGTTAAGAGAGCCGGAAGCCAACAGGGGAAAGACATTTGTCGAACAAACTCAACCCTCTTATAGCGAAAACCTGAGGTCCACTGCTTGCGTAAAACCGCGGTTTGGGTAAGAGCTCTTGTGTTGGAGCTCATAGTTTCAAGAAGACTTCCATGCAGGATCTCCCCCCCAAAAAAACAAGCAAACAAACAAAACAAAACAAAAAATAAAAAACCAATAAACAATTATAATAATCATTTGCAATACTGAATGCTAATTTGGCCTCATTCAACGAATCTATATACCAGGAGCATCCAAACTATCTCTCACTAAACGAGTTCGAGGTCCGTACTGTAAGTTGTGGAGTTTTTTTACGATCGTGCGCCATAGCTTCGAGCCAAAATCAATAATGAAAAAGTTAATCAACCAGAAAAAAAGCAAAAAAAAAGCGAAGCAAAGAAAAAGCGAAACAAAATAAATCCAGGTTCCGTAACTTACAGTATGGATCGACAAATCGAAGTTAATAAGGTACCTATTTCATCTCTAGGTTTAAATAGAAGGGGATGATTTCAGGTAAAAATATTAAGCTTTTTAATCCCGCGAGCATGTACAGTGAATTAAGTCAGAAAAGGTTAATAATCGGAGTGCAAGTACTAACTGAAAGATATGGTAATTCAATTTATAATCAGGCTTAAGATAACGATAGGTGAAGCTCGTGTGACGCTTAATTTGCGGTAAGGAACGAGTAGTGATCGGCAATGCAAGATACTCATAAGGATTATTTTACAGGGCACTTTGGTGATCGGATCCTCTCTCGACACGCCACATCAATAAAACATAGATACGAGCCTGTTAAGATCGTTTGAAATACCAGTAGTATCAAAGCATTCTAAAAATATTTAATTGGAAACCGAGTGTTTGTAAATTTATTTCACAGAGAAGTATTTTCTCCGTTGAAACCAACGCTTAGACTTGTTTTAAGGCTGCTCTCATAAAGACGAGTTGAAATTCTTTCTTCGTAGACGGTGCTTAAACAATTATTCATGGAATTAAATTGGAATACAGTAAAAATACAAATTAGAGATTACTTGGCTTAAATCCTATTTAAAATTCAGGATTTCATTTCTCTGTTCCTGATATCCATTCAGTTAAATCAGGTTCAACTACACATGTTTGGTAGTGTTGATATTGTGTTAGATTTCTAACTGCTCCTGATTTTCATTCAGTTAAATCAAGGTAAACTAAATATGTTTTGCTAGCGTGAATAGGGTATTAGATTTTCACAATTCAGATTACTTCTCTATTCCTGATTTTCATTCAGGTAAACCGAGTTTAACTAATCATATTTTGCTGGTGTGAATGGGGTGCTGCATGTCTAAACTTTGGATTACGATCTCTGTTCCAGCCGAATTTAACATAAGTTGATCTAATCATGGGCTGAGGAATTTAAAGTGGGTAAAATTTTCAATTTTAATTTAAAACGTGAGTCCATCTCAACGGTTAAAATGATTTATATATTTTCTTCCGTTTATATTTACAAACACCAGAAATTCTTAGGAAAGGTTTCGTGCACGCACGTTTAAGGCCCACAGACCAAATCAAACCTAGAGAGCTGGCTTCTAGATCTTCATAGCTTACATTAATAATTGAAATCTGATGTAATAATTTATGCTGCAATCAAAATAAGGCCAAACTTTTCATGCTTTTTTCAAAAACTTACATCTAGTCGTTTCTATTTGTCATTAATTACTAAGTGATTCGCGGAATGTTTTCTGCAGCTATTACATGCAAAAACGACAATAGTGCTTCATTCATCCTCTGAATTTTACCTAGTGCTTTTCAAGTAAATGTTTTCACGCGTTTAGCTTCCAAAACTTAATAGCTGAACTAAAGATATCAAACTTTAAGAAATTTAATTAAATAAATTGATGCCTTTTCCGTTTCCCACCGATTGATTTGTTAATTTGAATCAAGCTGGAAACCATTTCGTTTACAAACATATCCTTTATGAGAGAGATGATTCTTAATAGTTGAAAAAAAAAAATACACTTCTGATCTCCGACAAACATTTGTAGGTGAGTTTTGATGTGCAAAGCTTCTAACCAGAATTTCAACAATGAAGTCGTCTCGAATTTTTTTTTTTTTAATTATCTAAAGAGTAAATGGTTTACAGCATTACCTTCGCCCAGTGTGAAAATCAACTTTCTGGCAAAACACAACGCCAAGCAGACCTGTAGCTGAAAAGAAAGAGAAGAACTAGTTGACAATGTGTGAACATTCTTTGAAAAAGCTAAGGTAATTTCTTTAGTTTTAACGATACCTGAGAAATGTTCATCTCACTTTCTCCTGAGCACGAAAATTAATATTTCTCAAAGGCAGGAATCTGCAGACTCGCTGTGTAGGGCATCTGCACTTACACTTTACTCAAGAAGGACTTATGTAACCGCGGAATCTAAAGAAGCTGAGACAATGATGCATAAATAGCAAATTGACCAAGCTGAATAAACTCTCTAAATAACAGAGGTATGTCCTGCTGAGGTAAGATTTACATAGACTTTCATTCATGGCTTGTCTCAAGCCACCTGATTACGCGTTTAATAATTAATTGTTCAAGTCTAAAAAGAAAGTTTTAAATCCATTTCTAGGAAAAAGCAGAAAATCTTATTGCATTATAGTCATAGCATGAAATGAATTTAGCTAAGTGATTTGGATTTCGGAGACGAGAACGTTTCCATGATGCAGTTAGGGGATTGTGTTTTCTTGCGAAACTAGCGCGCCTTGAGAAGTGATACATCGTGAACTTACATTCTCCAAAGGCTAATCAGCTATTGAATATAAACACTAGAGTTTCTTTGATTTGACTAGAAAAGTTTAAAACTATAAATTCATGGCAATTCCGAGGTTATAAACGTTTTTCACTTAGACACGTGAATTTATCATCTCTTCTAAAGAAATTTAATAAAGCGAAACATAGGTAGTGTGCATGATAGACTGCAATCCTTTTCAAATCTCCACTCAAAACATTATCCTCACTATGCCTCTGCAACCTTTAAAGTTCACATGTCAATATTTCTTGAGTTTGATCTCCTGCCGAAAGACTAAAAGTTACGCAGTAAATACGTAAGAGTAGTAGTGAACAATTATTATGTTACGTAACACTATTCCAACTGACGTCCCAGCCAAACTTGAAAGAAAAACAATCATAGCTTTCATAGAGACCTTATTTCTTTCATTCTGAACATCAAAATTCCCTTAATTTATTACGGACGTGATTCCCTCTCATCGTTTAACTAAAGAAAAAATTAATTAAATAAAAAAAATAAAATAAAAAAAAAATTAAAGAAAAAAATGATTCATAACCGTAAGTGAGGTCTTAACAAAGGCTTGAGGTCATAAGGTCATGTTCTCTTGAAACTTCGCAACACGTCATTACTTAAATCGATTTTTGTCTACAATATTACGTTAAAGATATCTGCCGGTTTTGTGGTCGATAATGGAGCAATTACCACATTTGTGGCAGATTCGATTATTTGTTTCACTTTTGATCGGTACAGTATATTCATTCGTGTTTCACCTTGTAAATTTTGAGGAGTGTATCTTGAATCAGCACTAAATTATTTATTTTAACTGTTTATGATGATATTTACTCTCCTTGCTGCTTTTTTGAAGAATACAGAGGGAAGAGGGGTTTGAAAGGATGACTTCTTGAATTGAAAAGGACTTCTGTATGTCTATAGCTTGCGTGACTGAAGGGTCTTTGTCGTTTGACGAAGATTTATGCGGCCGAGCGTTAGTTTATTCCTTCTCATTCTCTCCGTTACTTCGCCGCTCATTCGCGCGGTTCTGTCACCCAAAACTCCCGCAAAAGTATCAGTTATGCAAGCGTCGTCATCCCCATATCTTTAGTTTGTTTTTCATGGTCAGGAAGCCTGTAGATCTGCGCAGAGATAAAGCTTTATATTCAGTCAAGAAAAAGATTACATAGCTCAGGCCAAACTGATATGCCTCCATGTGATTTATCTTTTCCGAGAATATGATTAGGTGGAGATTTGTTTGGTGGGGCAACTGCAGGCTTGACGATGGGTCGACCAGAGTTGTTGGGTTTATGAATTTTAGGTTAAAAGAAAAAAAGAAATGCGCACTGTTTGAAGATTTGTGATGATTAAATTTGTGGCAGTTCTTGTTTTGCTAAAAAGGCCGTTCACAGTGCTTTGGACAGTTTTTGTTCTCAGTAATTGAATTTTTTTTTTAATTTTGCATAAAAATAGGTTTCAAAAATTGACGCGAAGCTCCTCTTTTGTTGAGGTCGACCCGCCAAACAACACAGCACCGGCTTTGTCGGCCGCTTTGATAACTATTTCTTCGCATTTTATAAGACTTTAAGCACCGCCCAAGAGATGTTGAGAATTGCATGACTGGATATGTACCAGACTATTTGAAAACAGAGGAGAGATATCTCGCAGGGCAACTCGTAACTCTCGCCTTCTAAACATTCTACTTTTTAAAACAGGATCTAGACAGAAAACAATTAATTATTGAATGGTTTCCTTATGCAACCAGTTGGATGATTCTTTTAAACTTCGTAACTCAATCTTAGGTTTTAAACGGAGATCGTGTAAAACTCTAACCACCAGATTTAAATGTAAGATTCAAATTGTCCATTTGTTTTAAGTTACTTAAAACATAACGTTATTGATTTTTAATTGTATAATTGTCTCTAAAAAACTGTCTCGGG